TAAACAGTAGTAAACAGTAGTAAACATGTTGATCTCTGGGTAGAACACATCTCTGATCAGGTCGGCAGCGCCAGGGTACATCCGATACTGTGTTGCGGGGGTTATTTGCGGCCAGCCAGAGTCTTGCAGGCGAACCTGCAGAGGATGTGTCTCGTGATGCGCCAGAATATTGACAGGCTTGCCCCCTAGCATGTAGTGTTCTGACTTAACGACTGATCGAAGCTGATGTTGGTCTCCAGCAAGGATGACGACTTTGCCTGCTGGCATTGATCGCAACGCGACGAACAACTCGGATGGGACGGCTCTGCAGGCTTCATCCATGGCCACTACCTGTGCCTGGAACTTTGTGAAGTATCTGGTGTGACGCTCGAGAGCGCCATGGGTAGTGCAGACGATGACTTGAGCATTTCGAAGGAGCCAAAGCTCCGCAAACTTCAGAGCGAGTTTTGCCTGATGAGTCTCTTGCTCACTCCGATCATCACCTTTCTCCACAAGTTGCTTCATCTCTTTAACCCATTCTGTTTTACGTTCGTTCGAGATGATTTCGTTATCCGTGCTGACATCGCCGAGGAGCTTCTTGATCCATTCCGCGACGGAGAAGGCAGCCACCCACTTGGAATTGCTATGGCCGATTGACAGGGCGGCGACGAGGCGGTCGACATGCTTTCCCAGACGGGCCTCGACGAGACGCCAGTGGACGGTGGCCGTGAAGCCGGCAGACTGGACGATCGTGCGTACGATTCGGCTGTAGGCTCGGCCGGCCATGACGAGTTCCTCGGTGTACTAGAGCGAGCGATTCTCGTCCTCGTCTGCCATCCAGGCGTAACCGTTGATGGGGAGTTGGTAGATGACGGTGACAGCCTTCCAGGATAGGATGAGGCAGAGCTTGGCGTGGTTGACGTACGTCAACCCAGAGATGTTGAAGACCCTCTTGTAGGTACGGTCCTTAAGGTCCTTAAACTGGCTTTAGGTGACTGACTATGGCTATGCCTCGATGGTCGCCTTATGGAGGGGTGTGAGGAGTCGGCCGTAAGCGTCGGCTAGGATCTGGCAGTGGATACTAAGGATCTGGTATATATAAGTTGCCTTACTATAGCAGCTGTTAGTAGCTATCTATCGGGGCTACTTACTTTCGCTGTTAGAGTATGGTAACCACGATAGGCTTAACTATACTGTCGGATATAGTGTCGGTATAGGTGTCGGGTTCGATGTTGTTGTAGGGAAGGTAATTTGGTAAGGTAAGGAAGGCTTTGCGAAAGTGTTTGGGAGAAGAAGGAAGCCCTGGGGAAATTGGCGAACGGAGGATATTTGTAGGGGTGTCAAAATCGTCTAAAGTCAGGAACCTGTGATTGAGTTGACGTAATGATAGTGGTGACTGGGGCGGCCGGTAAACAACGCTTTTTGTCCTATGAGGAAGGTATGCTGCGTTCGAGGCAGCCGTAAGGAAGGTACGCCGTGTTCGAGGCAATTGCCGCCAACTGGCCGCACTGTAGTATCACGGGACAGACGCACCCATGGGTGCTAAATTGGTATCATGAGGTCAGGAGGATGGTTTGAGTAGTCTGATGTAGCGGTTGTATGCAATGGTTACGTCGTGAGGATACAGTCTGTTGGAGGAATATGTGCTCTCGATCCCAGTGACATCTTTGGTATAGAATACGCGAGCCAGCTCGCGAATGAGAAGGACATCGACAAGTTCATCGCATTGGGCGGCAATCCAAGAGGCGAGAACATTCCCCTTTCGTTGTAATCAACTTTGTAAAGGGGTTAAAGGTAGTTGTTGAAGGCAAGAGAGCTAGGGTCTTACCGCACAAATAAAACTTAATGTATTATATATATCGAAAACAAAAATGACATTTGTGACAGAAAATCGTGGCCACCTGGTTCGAGACCCATGCAGACCAGCCCCACGTGGCCAAGCATGCCGTTGAAGTATCATGGCACAGTACGGGGAGCACAGAGGATACAAGTATCACGATACCAGGATGATGCTGAATAGCCTGTCAGTCCTGGGTGGTGAAGCAAAGTGTGTTGTGTAAGTATCTAAGTAAGTGTGCAGTGGGGAGAGTAGCTAAGGTAAGGTAGGTGGTGGAGGTCATGCGACCCAACATGAAGACTGTATTTATAGTTGAGGTTACTCTCAATTGAAACGTGATGAATATTCCGATGTCAGCAGTGCATTTATCGTTGCCCAAGACAGCCGTGGAAAAGAGCACGGTTCTGCAAACTTGATAGTGTTTGCAACCGACGAGTCGGTGTTTGCGGAAAGGCGTTATGCTTTACTAGTTAAAGGCTCCACCAGGACAGCATATGTTGCTTTCGTAGAAGGTGTATTACTTGCTCAACTTGAGATTACTACCCTTGTAGTAGTTAGTAAGCTTATGGTAACAAACAGGATTATGGAGACGTTGACAAATGCCATAACTCTCAGAAACAAGCACCTGTGCCTTCAAAGGGTTGAGATTACCGTCTCGGCAGATTTATTATGGCCATATCAAGGCTCAGGGTTGCCATCATATCATTAGACCTCGAGAAGCGGTCGTGGAGGGATGTTCACATTCTCAAAGTCTGTAGAGGGCCGATGTTCTCGCACCAAGCGGTCACACAACGTCGTATGTGTTGCGGTTGAGTAGAATTGGTAAAATGGCGACGTTAGCCCGCCAAATGACTGCGCTTATTTATATATCTTTCCGGAACGACCTTTTCTTGCGTTGAGTGTTTTTGTCTGTTGAAAATCCATCGAGACTTTGGGACCGGCAGTCAAGGTTGTATCAGGCCCGGGGATGATAAACTCTTTATCTTGTAATCTCCCAAGACCGGATACTGGTAGGTGCATTCCAGGCCATTTAATTCCAGAGTTTTTAAAATACTAGAACTTCGGAGACATATGCTCAAGTCGAGTAGGTGCTGGGCGGTTTCTCTTGCTATCAAAATTCTGTGAATTACTGGCCTATTGATTAGACGGCGTTCTAATAGCTAACACATGGGTCGTTGCTTACCGTATCCTAGTGTTGCTTACCGAATACTACCCAAGGGCTTGACATAGACCGCTTGCTTCGATCGAAATCGATATGGTGGACCCTGACTGCAGATATGTCTGGTTGGCGCAGGTCGTCTCGGAGATGGAGAAGACGCCCTTGAGGGCGCGCTCCTTCAGGCCGTTGAACTGGCTGCGGGTGACGGAGCGAGGCTGCATCGCGATTGCTGTCTCACGAAGGGGCGTGAAGAGTCGGCCGCGAGCGCCGGCCAGGATCTGGCAGTGGACGCCGAGGGTCTGGTAGATACGAGTTGCCTCGCTACGGCGGCTTCCTAGACGCAACACGGGGCAGTGCATGCTCATAGACTTTTGTGTGAAGTGTGTCTATAAGGAAACGATGTGATCAGATCGAGTATTATGGATAGCATGAGCTAGCTGGACACAGGAAAGTTACTGAGCAGCTGCGAGGAGGCTAATATATAGAAAACGTTGCCACTTTTCAATGCTGTGACACTCGTCTTAATATCCCAGGCCTCTGTGCTGGGAAGGTGATTCTGTGTGGCTGGGCTTTGGACAGATTGAAGATGATGGTGAAGATCAGAGGGATCCATAGGTCAATTTATAATGCTCAAAAGGTGGGAATGGCTCTGGCGTGAGTTTGATCGGAACGGTTGCTTGCTCGTTTGAGTGTTACGATGATCTGGTCTGTATAAATCAAACAGTGTAGTAACTTAAGATAAGATGACAACGAGGAATCCATCAAACGAGTTCTGACGCTTGCTGAGAGTTAGTCAGTGATACGTGATTCATAATTCAGTTTCGTCTACTCCCAAATATCTTCATGCTGAGACGTTGGCTGTCCAAACATACGTAGGAGGATTGCGTATAGCTTGCTGGAAGCGCGATTGCCGTTGACTCAAGACACTGCTTACATGAGAGCTTAGACTCTTGCACGTGAGGTGTTTGTTGGTAGATTGCTACAACTGAGACACAACTTGATATGGAGTCTCAGGTGTCATACCCTACGTGAGTCAGGTCTTGTCATGAAGTGTTCGACCTCCTAGGCAGGCTTTCTGCAAGGCTGATTTGCTTGCCCAGATGCCAGAGGACACCGGCACTTTCATGCGAACCCCTGTGCTCCATGCGCTCATCGTGTCACAACCGCCAGATCGTGATGGGGACCTGCATGGGTAGGGATTCAATGAGATCCAAAGTCTTGTGGATATTTTGTGCGTGACGTGCAGATGGTAGGCGGGAAAGAAGAAGCCCCTTGAGTGGCTGGGAGTTCAGCTCCCGGGCGCAGTTTTGCGGGAAGGAGAGAGCAGAGGATAGTATGTCGGAGGGGCCGGCAAGGAGGTGGCTCCCTTGCACTGAAAGGCAGAGCCGGAGGGAGCGCAGGCAAGGTCCAAGCCACGAGCAGACCACCATTTTGATGCACAGCCTGGTTTGCCGATTCCCGTTATCAGGCCGGAAGGGGGGGATGCTGCGACGGGAAGAGTTCCGGAGTTGCACGACCTTCCCGATTGATACGGCCGACCGGGGCCGACCGGCCTCACGGTACGGCCTATGATTGGCTTGTTGGTTCTGAACACTCCCAAAATTGTCCAAAAGGGGCCATCAGAGACACCACCCCCTCAGCAAGAATGTCGCAGCACTGCAACCACCCTGACCTGCTTCGCACCTCATTCAGCCGGAAGAAAGACATCATTATTATTGGCTACTCTCCATAGACCGTGGTCGGCTCCCTCACTATGCCCCCACGCGAAGGCCGCAAGGCGTTGGCACATAGATACCGATAACAACGTGTGGGCGCTTAATGCGGCCGGTCTTCTGGCCTCAGGCTCTCCTACGCATCGCGAAATAGGCCCTGAGAAATAGATGGTCGGAGCACTCCTGCACTGCCTGCTTCGATGGCAGTGATGCAGTATTCCCCTGTAAGTCCTGGCTGAGCACATGCAGCAGCTGGCTGGAGCCCAAAGTCAGGGCTCTGGTAGGTGCCAACGGCTTCTGCAGCTTGCAGATTCAGAGTCTCAGAAATATATAAGAACAAAGACCGCCACAGAATCAGCCATCATGAATCCACTCCAATCAGATCAGTCTACTCATTCTACATAAGGCACTGTTTCGGGATCTGAACTTAGTTGAAGCTGCTGCCCGAAGTTCTTTTGGCCATTCGGTCTCTTGCTCGATAGTTTCTTTTCTTGGTAATTGAAGACCCAATCCATAGTGACTTTTCAGGATAAAAACAAGAGCTCTGAGGTCAACTCACCCTTGCACAACTCAACCACACACTGTTCGGAAATTTCGCAATGCGATCGCAACCTGGAATATTCTCTGCTCAGGAGAAGCAGTGGGATCCTGAGGAGGTCTTAGGCCTCATCAACCCCGATAGAGGGAACATCACCTGCACCGCTGAGGCCATGACATATGGTCGGCGATGTCGGCGCGCACAGAATAAAATCTACAATGCTGCACGCATGCTCAACGACATGGCGACCATGGACCCGCTTAGTGTTGCCAAATCAGACAAACTCACCGCAATCGCGGAGGACAGTGTCTGCTATCAACACGGCGGACAAGCCAATAAGGTCTGTCGCGAGTGGAGAGACAAGCTCCGGGCTTTGGGAGGCTCCCGCAAAGTGGCCCCTGCCCCCGAGAGTCCCCGGTTCAAGACCGAGCCCGATTCTGATTCTGAGGATGAAGACGTCAAATGGTTCACCAGACGGCCCACTCAGCGCAGCTACACCCGTGCTGATATCGACAGCATGCTGGAGCAAATGCGACGCATGCAAGAGACCATCAACAACATGCAATCCCAGAAACAACGGGAAGCGGAAGAACACAAACGCAAGCAAGCAGAAGAGGAGCGACTTCGAAAAGAAGCGGCCGCGAGAGCACAGCGACAGCGGCGAGAAGCGGAAGAACGAGCAAAACAAGAGCGTGAGAAACAAGAAAAGGAGCGCAAGGACCGCGAGAACAAGGAGCGGGAAGAGCGTCGCAAGGCACGCGCGAAGAAATCGACCGAAGAGGCAGAACAGTCGACCAAGCAGGAATGGGCTGATTCTTGGCAAGAGTATCTTGATGGCTGGGAGCACCTGAGGGGAATGAGTTGCAGAGAAGTAAGTCCGTCTGTAGCGTTCCAACATTGCAGCTGTTCTAACATTGAATCTAGGCTGCTCCGATTTTGATCCCATGGCCAGTGAAATCAGGGAAGTGGGAAGATGTCACTGCTGAGAGCGTCAAACTATTCTTCCAGAAAGCACCTCCCATGCCTTCTTCTCCTACGGACGCCAAAAGAGAGAGGTTCAAGCTGATGAGCCAAGAAAGCAAACGATGGCACACGGACAAAATCATGCAGCTTTTTGGCCGTGAAGTCCTCACGGGAATTCATGGCAAGGCTCTCGACTTGATTGCGAAGATTGTTGTTCAGCTCAGGCAAGATGCTGGAAAGGCAAGGAAAGACTGATAGATGAATTGAGGAGAGACATCGTCTGAGTTTGTTGGGTGTATTAGTAGTTTTTGCTTCGATTCATTTGTATCATTATGTTTGCGGATATGCGTTAGAACAAACACGAATGCCAAATCATGTGCACACTTTCATTTTAACAGCATGAAATTCGTAATCTTCCGAAAGGCGAAATCTGCCGCCAATTCCAGGATACCTCCCAGTCTAGAACGGAATGCAGAAGAAGGTTCGGCTATATCATAACTGCTGAGATGTGAAGAAGACAGTTTTGTAGCAAACTTTCAGGCGAGCAGGCCTAAAAATTTACAAGCTGCAGCTGGGACACACCAGAAACACTTGCTTGAGGTCTCAAAACAGAAGATGAACAGATAATGTAAGGGTTGTATATGAATTCAGAAGAGAGTAACATAAGAACAATAAGAAAGGACAGGACAGCTCTCTCTGATCAATAATTTTGTTTGACAACTCCGGTGCTACTTGCTAGATTTCAATCCAAAATGGGGTGCTGCCCATGTGATAGCAATGTCACTTGAGCGCATGCTAAACGATACTACTTCGAGCTGAAAGGAAGTGAGAAGCTTAGAATGGTAGATCTGGTCAGTGGCTGTGTCGATGACATATAGACGAGCCACTCAAAAAGTGTCTGGTCTTCCGCCGAGACAACTTGCATGAACCATTTCATCCATAAAAGCTGATTTAGCTGTTAGGAAGCATCGAGACCAGCTTGTACGACCGATAGTGAGGTACCCGTTTCGATGATGAACTTCATCATCAGGCCAGGAAGGTCCAGAACTGGTTGAAGGGGTATAAAACGCGAAGCAGCCGCTTGACCACTTCGAGCTCTGACCATTGTATCAACCAACATGAACGCTAAATCAATGGCTCTCATTTCGAAACGAAGTCAGGTGGGGAAAAGTACACAACTTCTGCGCACCGTAGAATGCCTTTGGAAGGGATATGCACTTGGCGCACATTGAGCTATCTTAGCTCTGGCCAAGAAGTCGTCCAATAGACACCGAAAAGGAAGAGAGGAGGTCAAGTGCCGACAATGCTGCTGGTCTCTGCCCTTGCAGGTGTCACAGTTCTGGCTGCCAAGTGTGCGTGTGTATTTTTGTGATGACATGACATCACCATTAGAGGGGGAAGATGGTGCAAAGGTAACAAAGGGCAAAAGATCTCGCGCTTGGGTGCACAAAAACGGTCTTTTTGCTGCTGGTGCGGCAGCGGTTCGAAGCACGGGGGTGGTCTTTTGCGTGAGCTGGTGAGCTAAGAGTTTAGCACACCCGCAGGATTAACGTTGGTTCTGGCGCATCGCAGGCCACGTTGATCGACGGTCATTGCTCCGTAATTTCGGTCTTGTTGATCATGTTGATCGCTGAAAAGGCATTCTGTCCCATTGGCCGTCTTCGATGTCGCTCTTTTCACCGATTCGAGACTTTTCTCGGACACGAGGACTACTGCGCTTGGCTGTTTCTAGCAAGTCGAAACCGTCAGATCTGGAGACATGGCGTGCTGACTCTGAAGAGCCAAACGGCTGATGGGTGAGAGGAAGCCAGGACTTAGACCTCGGATAGGATGGGGGATTCGAAGAGTCCTCCAAATCCTCATCTGAGAGGCTTGGCCAGCTGGCAAGGCTTGAGTTGTCGCAAGTAGCCTGGGCTCAGGCCTCGCCACTTGGAGAAGAAACGGCACGATGTGAGAGGTCGGTTAGCTAGGACGGCTGTAGGCTTTCCATCGCAGCCCGAAAAGGGATTCATGAGCGAGCCTCGTCTGGTTCGTTGCGACGAGGCCAACTTTGGAAAGAAGCATCCTCAGATGCAGGCAGGCAGGCAGGCAGGCTTGCTCGGCAAGGGGTTGGGAGTGGTTGAATCGCTCAAAGCGAGGAGGCGGAAGGTGCGAAAGAGGTGTGGCTGGTGAGGAGGCATGCCGACGAATAGACGACGATGCCGTCACAAAAAACTGTGGCGGCTTTTCCAACTTCCAGCGACTTACAAGGCAAGGGCGATCCCCACGCACCTTACGTTACACTAAGATGGGCGTTGTGCGCTAGGGAAACCCCACTGTATCTACTGTACTTAGCGTGTGCCGCACCTGGACACTAATTACCCCTCCATCTCCGAAGCGAGCCATTTTAGCGTCACCGCCGTTACCTGGCAACTGGTCAGTGCTTCTATTTTCGATACCCACCTTCTGAGAAGCCTGGAGAGACAATCCCGCCTTTTCCAAGACAACTGATGAACAGCGCTTGTTGTTGCAACCACAAACGGCAAGCCATCACGATCGCGTAAGGTAGTATTTTGGCAGCTTTTCGCCACATCTGGCGTTTAGACGTTCTCAAGAACCGAAATCCTGTTGCCCGGCAATTTTGAAACAATCGCCTACCGAGATGCCAGGGTCACCTGCATCTTTAAGTGAATCACCCAACCTCAGGGTTTTGATGGTGGTGTTCAACCGTATAATTGACAGGCGCAGGAACAGGAACACACGCACTGAAGAAGCAATTCTGCCCTGCATGGAGCTTCGTAGACGCCGCTCACTGTCTTATCTCAGCCCAGCCAACGAGCCAACCTCTTCCACCATGAAGTGTCCTTTAGTGCATCCCAGAACAAAGGGTAAGACCACCCGGCTCCGGATTGCCTACTAGAACCCACCACGACTACCGTGGTGGCGTCCGTTAGCTGTGCCTGGATCAGCGCTCTAGCAGTCCGCTTGGAGACTGTGGAGAAGCGACAGCGCGGTGTGGTGTGTTCGCAGTGGTTGAGTTTCACCCATCCAGGTTCTCCAACTCAGCGAAGCGGTGCGCTCTTTGCATATCGCCAACGCATCGCTCGGTGCAGCTCTCTTTTCGCCTTACTCGAGGATTGGAGATGCGAGGATTTGCGCGCAGGCTGAGAAGGCGGTGGACGGCCTCTTCAGCTAGGTCATATAGTAGGATTTCTACAGCGCCTTACTTCAGTAGCAGCTATTGGCCCAGCCCGGGTGTTTCACAACGCCCGTATCGCCGCCATGCAGGTGTCGCTTAGTTGCAACGACGCCAATATGGACGAGATGTATGAGCCAAAATGTTTTGGCTGGTCAACACACTACGATGTAGAGAGAGCTGACGAGAGCAAGAGCGACATCCTTCCCCAAATGCACATATGCGGCCGCTTCGTCATCCCTGTCATCAGGGACGATCCTTGAGAGACCTTCTCAACAATTCCAGTGAGTAGAAAGTGCATAGGCTACGACAGGATCAAGATCTCGTGTTCAGCCTTTGACGAGGCGCTCATAGATCGTGAGAAGGCTGCTGTAGGGTCCTCAAAGGCGTTCATGTGGCTGAATGTCGTGCCGATTTAGGTGTTCCGTGTCTGAGATTCATCGTGGTTGGCTGGCCATTGTGTGTCCTGGTTGAGAGATTATTTCCGGGAGTAGACCTCATGACATAGCTTGTTTACGGATGCCTTCCTTTATCCTTCCTTCCCGTAGGACTCCTGTAGGAGCCGCAAGAACCGTGCCAAGATGATGGATGCCGGGCTTGAAGAGTAGGATCAGCCCCACCATGGAAAGGACGGTGAGAAAGCTGGCGCTCGCAGTGAGGAAGAGCACAATTGCTGACAGTGACGATGGTGATCTGATTGATTAAGTTACGGCACAGGTGCCGCGAAGGAATGGCACAGAACAAGAACCAGCGCAAGTATGATGTGATGTCAATCAACCAAGTTATCAGGCTGTCCGATTGCTCGATCGCAAAGCCAGGTCTTCCCCCCGGCTAAAAACGGCCGGGTGCTAGGGAGTCCTGTATAGCTTCCCTGTGTGCCGAGCTCGCTGATGTGGAGCACGGCTCTATCTTCCTGACGCCTCAGCAAGTTTTCTGCTACCAACGTCGAATCTTGGTTGGCTCTGCATCTGTACTCCGACACTCTAGAGGCCTGCAGTGTTGGACGCCATCCAACGCCAACACCTGCACACCCGGATGCTAGTGCGCTGGACACGAGAATCGCCAACACCACACTCGCTTCCTGGTCTTTCTCGTCTGGTCCTGCAGCAGCTTGTTGCCGGGTGAGACGGCCTGGCCAGGGCTTTCGCCTCGCCTGACCTGTCCGCGGTGTTGATGACCATTGACCAGCAAGCAATTCAGTGTATTCGGCCTTGCTTCCGGCAAGATCGTGTGAGTAGATGGCCTATAACATGCTCACGGGCCAACACGAAAAGTGGAGTATGATCCCAGCACTCTATAGAAATCGGCGAACGGCATGATCGGGCGATGACCAGGCAGGGAGTATAGTAGAGGTGAAGGGAGGATGATGTCCATGGTGCTGGATGTTTTTTTCTTCGGCGTCCGACTCCATGTTGTCCTCCCGATTTTAACACAGTTGGTGACAGTGTTCCCGGGTGAGACATGCCTTACCACAAGTGTACACCAGCTTATAAACCTTTCCCGTCATACAATTATCGGCTGTCGGGTATGCCCTACAGCACTTTCTAAAGAGGCGCCAGACGTTTGCAGACACGAAGCAACCCTTGTGCGGCTTTTACAACAGGTGACTGATCGCGGGGTGTCTCCCAGGCGAAAAAAAAAAATACCAGTTGCTGAATAGATGATCATAGCTGGTGTGTTATGGGGTGTGTCGTCATACAGGGCCAGTGCCTAGCAGGATATCAGCCTCGAAGATGTCGTGAGCAAGGGTCGAGTGAACCCTGCTCAAACAGTGGTTGCTGTACCCCTGCTTAAATGTGGCGACCAGCCTCTTCACCTTGTTGATTCGTCCCCGTCGTGCATATCGGCCGACAGGGGTCGGACAGGTTCCCCAACCTTGCATCTTTGTCTCTTTTTACAGGTACACGCCGTGCTGTTGTTCTTGCAGCAGATGGATCTTCGTGGGAGGAGCAACTGTTCGGTCAATGGCTCGTCTCCGGTATCCTTGCGCCATGGTTACAAGAGAACAAGCAGGAATCGTCAGACTAGAAGCGACCTCGACGTGATAGATCCACACTCCCTCAACAAGACGTGCTCCGGTTCCGAGCATGAGAACCCCGGTCTAGTCAGCGGCCTAAAAGTCTCTCGATCGACCTCCTCGTGCTCCTCAGTCTGGAGAAGCAGAGAGGCTGCCGCATGTCGCCCGCGATGGCTGACTGGTCTGCCCAACCTCGTCCTAAACCTTGCTTTCTTTTGCCTGACCCTCCATCCTCCTCTGGCCGGGCACTATCAAGTCGTATGGAGCACAACTAGCGCCATGCACGGAGTGGTCTTCTCGCAAAGCTGCGAGGGACCAGACGATGTCATCGCCGCTCGACCTATTATCGCTCTGAGCCCTCATGCAGGTTCCTTTTGTGGCTCGATGCCACAATATAAGCCCTCCCGTCCTCTTTTTGCCATGCGAACCTCTCCTTCTTTTCAATACACGGTCCCAGCCTCTCATCTCCCAGCCAACCTCTTTCTGACAAGCCCCTGAGTTGAGTAACTCGTTCGTTAAGGTTACTTATATACCTTCGCTCACCTTGCTACGTGGTTCATCTTCTTTCGACCACTCATAACTGCTTGTTGACCTTCGCTACAACAACAAGTGACCTTCGCTGAAAGCCAATATCATCCCAATAGTAAATCAGAAAGATGAAGGCTGCTCTCTCGCTTCTTGCTCTGGCCGCCTCGGCCTTGGCTGACAAGGTTGCGCGATGGAAGGATGAGACTACTGTCGTCACTTATGTTACTACGACCGTCTGCCCAGTAACAGAGACATCCACTGGGGCCGGGACAACGTGAGGACCCTCTAGATTTGAATCTTCGTTATGCGTGAGGGCTCCGGATCAGTGTCCGATGACAGCGCCGTTGAGCTGGTCAAAGCCCTCGTCATAGCCTTGTCATGTGTACCTATTTTCGAATCAATTCACTAACTCTTTGGAAACAGCTATGAGATCACGAAACTGACCACATCGACAATTACGGTCACATCTTGCGCTGGAGGCGGCTGCGGTGGGGTAGTCACCGTCCCAGGTCCAACTGCAACGGCCACTACTACAGAGGTAAGTCTTTGTGGTTCCTGCTTCAAAGTTGAAGTTTCGGCAGCTAACAACCGAAATCTAGGTCGAGATTACCTATACGACTACGTAAGTGAAATTAGAACCGTGAAGACGAGTTGTTCGGTTTGGAATCAAACTGGGGTTGCTATACTGCCTCAGGAGATACCGGCCGACTACAGGTCTCCTCTTAATCCCGTCATGCATTACTAACCGCTCAATAGCTGCCCTGTGACCGAGACGGTGACTGGCCCTGGAACGACTTATACCACGACTTACACCACCACGTCTGTCTGCAAAACCGTCGTTCCTACGACGTACTATGAAACGATTCCTGGCCCTGCAGCGACAACGACCGTATATGACGTCGACTACACGACAATCACATCGCTCTGCCCTGTCACCGAGATTATTACCGTGAGCGGTAAGTAGTAAATAGCCCCATAGCCGTTTATTACCCTTCTAACTCGCGTAAAGGCTCCGAAGTTGAGGTGACCTACACTGCGACGTCCACCATCATCGAGAAAGTGCCTACCACAATTCCGGTCTATACCACAAGCTATACAACTGAATTTGAGACAACCGAAGTCAGTAAATGTTTTATCTAACGGCTCAGAGCCTAAGCTAACGGCCGGCAGGTTTATACGACAGAGTATTGTCCTCTTACCACCTACACAACGGTATTGGAGGCAAGTTTGATCCAATTCTTTCCACCCATTCTTCTGCCTCTCGACTGACAATGTTCTAGGGCTCCACGATCGAAATAACGGAGACAGACACTATCAAAGTCATCGCCACGAAAACAGCTGTCTATACGATAACTCAGGTTCAAACAGTGACCCTGACTAAAGAAATAGACCTGACTATCACGGCCACAAACGTCGCCAGCATTCCTACCACGGTATCCGAGATCACCACAGCTGAGGTTAGTTGTCCTTGAGTGTGCTCGTGTCGAGGCGCGAATAGCTAATTCATCACGACAGGTTACTCAGACGAACGTGTTCACGGTGACGCCATCGCCAACTCCGACAGTATCCAGTACCATCGTGAGCAGCGCCGCGCCCACTACTTCGGCACCAGCTGTTACGACTGCAGGAGCCAACATGAACAACGCCCCCATCGGCGCCTTCTTCGCCGGTCTCCTCGGTCTTGCCGCTCTCCTGTAAAGGAGTTCAGAACCAGACAGTCTTGAGATATAGCCTGCCCTGGCTTCTCCTCGGAGCAGCGCCGGCTTGTCTTATTTCTATGCTTGCATTCTTATCCTAATATTCTGCATCAGAGCCCCTCACGGGGCTTACTAGGGAACTAGGCCTAATTTTTAGTACCAAGGGTGGTATGAACTTTTTCACGGTCATGCTCTTACGGCCTATCACACTCCTTTACGACGTCTACGACTTATAACATGATGGGTTACAAATAGGAGGTATACGGGGTAGGAGGGTGGGTTAATGGAGATTGGTCATCTCACAGTTCATATTGCGGCGGTGGACGTGCGCGAAAATCGCGAAATGGTTGGGGAAAATGGAGATCTTCAGTAATTAATGCCGGGGAAACAAAGTGGCCTCAGTCACATGTGGTCGTACTTTTTCAGTCTTCTTGTACATAGACTTATTTAGGAGTGGCGCTCTAGGCGACATCGCAGCATAGCTCAACAGGAGTTTCGGGAATACCCAAAGCTTCATCTACATAACCCACCTTCCCTCGTTGCTTGTGTTGTACTCGTCGTCTCCCTCGGTCTCTCGGTGTCCGGAAGATGCCACAGCATGTACGAGATGTCGTATCCTCGGAGGGACGCACGGCAGGAGCGATGGGTGCGGCTTCCTGCGCACACCGACGGCCAGGTGACCCAACATCCCAGAACCGCCTTCCGAATTGATAAAATTAGCAACATCTTAATCCTGTACCATGGAAATGCCACTTAGCGGCGGCAATATCCGGAGGCTCTTCTGTCTACCTTGACTTCAGAGATTAACATCAACGAGCATAGGTGGATTTTTATCGGGAGGCCACAGAAGACTGCTTTGAGGTCGCGCCAAATTCTGTATGACCCTTGAGCATAAATCAAAGTCGTTCATCTAGTTCTTTTGCTATTAGAGGTTCTACGCTCATCAAATATCTAGACAAGCCGAGAGTAAAGTCAAATTGCGGAAAGTCATTCCCATGAACAGCGTTTCTTTCCGCCATTCTCATTCCTCGACACGACAAGCGCCACTCCCAGATCTGGATGGTGTTCAGAAAGCTCTACCCGTCAGACTTCTTATAATGTATAACTTTAGACTGTATGATATCGATGTGTAAATTGTCTACTTGAGTGCGACAGGTACAAGCAGAAATATGGCTTTATTTATCAGGATACCTAGCTGGATATTTACCAGAGTATTAGAGCTGTCGTCTTTCAAGATATAGGCATTTCACTTGAACAGCCATACTCCCAAACCAAGTGATTCATGTGATAGAGGATTAATAGGGTAACCCGTCTATTTTAGATGTACCATAGAGTCGACTTGGACTACTTCATGTCTGGTATCTTGAAGTTGTTGATGTTTAGAGAAAGCCAGCGATATTGGTATCGTGTTATGTTCTTGTAATAAACGAGTATTCATCGTTTTGCTTCTTTCTTTAATTGACGGACATCAATTTCAGTCTCCAGTATTGTTTTGGTCGTTAATGTGTCTTGAGTGGGACGGATTTGGTAAATCTTGACCCTCACTTCATCAACACTCTGTACATATGCCTCGAGATCCTAATCGAAGTATGGTGTAGCTTGGAGAAACTTCCCAAATATTTCTGATATACCATGATAGAGGCTGGCTAGGAAGCTTTCACCCAACGCGTACTCTTTCTGCGATCTCGGTCGCGCCCTTTGATCCGTACTTGCCGTACCTGCCTTGTGGGCAACAGCAGCCTCCACTTACGTCTATGTCTTTTCACCTTTGCCCAGCTTCCTCAAATCTTTCCCTCACCATTCCCCTACAGAAAGTGTAAATCCCCGGCTTGCGGCCTTGTCGCGCTCTTTCCATATCCCATCCAAGTTACGGCAAATAACCACCCGCCCCTGTTCCCTCCAACCTGTCAACAACGGTCTTTTCAAACAACACCTCTCGCAAATCTCTTCACTCTCTTTCTTCAAAATCGTCAGTGATCCCAAACCGCCTGGAGCCTCATCAAAAATAGCTTGCACATCTCCGCTCATTGTTCTGATCCCGCGGGACGCTCGAGTCCTTAATTTCCTTTGAGTCTCGAGCGCCTTCCTCCAGCAACTTTTCCTATCCTAGTTAAACATCAAGGCCATCCAGTTGAGTCGCATTTATCCAGTTGCTTTTCGGCCAAACAAACCCAGCACTCCTTTCCACTTGTACAGAATGCTTACTTCCTAGTATATTGAGTGATTCACACCTACATCACGCCGGATTTGGAGGAGAGTACTAAGCTTTTCGGGCAATGCTCCGCGATGGTAATTTCCGCTTCAGCGCTCCCTCTGCCGCTCACGCTCCTGCCATAGGGCTTAATCAGTCTTCGCATGCTTCTCACTAGGCCTTCACAAGCGGTGAAAACACATCTATGGTAGAAGATCAAGACTGGGCTTCTCCATCAGGTTTTTCCTCGTACGATTACTACTATGTTTACTACCTAGAGTGCGTTACTTTAGCAGCGTTACTTAGCAGCTTGGCTTAACCATGAAGTTATCGCTATAGGACAATCCCCTGGAACATTTGTTGTCATGAAAGGCGAGAGCGGCTACTCGCCGACTTGGAGTTGCGTATCATCTACGCCATACGACCGAGAAAGACCTCGGGTAGAAAATACTAACGCATCATATTTTACAGACGTCCAGGAAGTTGTTGACATCTATCCCGTTCCGACCGTCAACTTAGAGTCACCCACACCCTGCCAATGAGGACGATTTGCGTTAAGTTCTATCTGCCAGCTTGCCTAGTAATAGATTTGTTTCACACTTAATGAACAGCCAATATAGTTGAAATGGTACGATTGGGAACGTGAAAGACCTACTATAGTCAGCTTATGAGTATTTCAAACATAAGTTATATGACGGAGCCCTATTGAATGATGAGGGAATTGTGAATTGTTCACTTGAGCTTGATCTACCAAATAACTACTGTGGGCTCATTCATCAAGGTATCTGTGACACGTATATTGGAGCACTAATTTGCTGTCTTGGTATCCAACTATCCCACTACACGACCTATCCGGTTCGACGGGCTATTCGCTAATTGCTTAATAGTCATTGTCACCATAGCCAGCACCCTCTCTCTTGGAGCGTCCCTTGTCGCCGAGCTTGTCGTTGTTGAAAACATCGCCGGCCTTCTCAAGGACCTTACCAATTGTCGAGTCACCACCTTTCTTGCTTCCGTAGGAGTCGTCATCGCGTTTGGAGCTGCCGTACGAATCGTTGTTACCAGATCCATAGCTGTCATTGTTGTCTCGGCCAGAGCCAAGCGAATCCTTATCACGAGACGAGCCGTAGCTGTCGGATCCGCCACCATACGATTTATCGTTGTCCTATGAAGCGCAAGGTTAGCACTTATACACTATCCATACATGGTAACAGTGCGTAACGGGATTCGTACCTGACGAGAAGAGCCATAAGCGTTGTCGTTGTCTCTGCCAGTTGAGCCAAAAGAATCACTGTTGTCTCGCCCACCAGAGCCAAAGCTATCGTCATTGCCACGGCGGTTGCCTCCGGACAGAGAGTCGCCGCCGAGGCCACCTCCTGAAGAACCAAAGGAATCACTTTCACCCCGTTTGCCGGAGCCGAAGCTGTTGTCATCGTCTCCGCGGCGCCCGCTGGACCCAAAGGAATCATTACCACCAATGCCACCTGAGCCGGTGTTGCTTCCGTAAGAGTCCTTGTTCCCACTTCCGTAAGAATCGTTGTTGCTACCTCCGTAGGAGTCATTGTCTCCTCGGCGGTCAGATGAGCCCTGGTCAAATCAGTTAGTCATGAGCCTCAGACCCTGAAGCTGCTGGATATTCTCATACGTAGCTGTCGTTATCGTTGTAAGACATGATTGTTGTTGATACAGGAGCTTCTAGATGAAAACAATGGCAGGGTGATATTCAGGGGTTGTTTTTAAAGAAGAAATGAAACTCCTGTCAAATCTTTGGGACATCTCTCTCTATTTAAGTAAACCTTACACCCCTCCATAATACATCACAGGAAAGCACGTACTAGCTCTCTACGTCACTGGGGAAGCACCGCCGCAATGGAGCAGCTTGTCTCTAGTCGGGATCCCTGATCAGACTAGAGGGCTCCCTCAATTGGCGACGGGAATGGTGGGTCGAGCTAGAACCTGTTCCCGCTCAGATGCATGTCTGAGCTTGCGACTTCAGGACTCAAATCAGATCTGCTATGCTACTTGTCCTGATCCACTCCCTCTCTTTCAGCTGAATTAAGACATCCGGTACGTCCGAGTGGATATCATTGGGTCATAAAATGGCTCAATTCGTGGCACTGAGGTATACTCTTGATTTGGAGATGCCGTAGACAAGGATGAAGCTTCATGTAAGTGCTCGGGCAAGCTACTTCATCAAGCCTGCTGGCTCCGGAAGGAAGCACCATCAATTGGCCATAGCACGAGCAAAAGGCATCATCGCTCACATTCAGGGAACAAAGGAAGGCCAGTTCATTGCGTCATGCTTGGATCATTTGGTCTATATTGATCTGTAATGGTGAGATGTTGTCCCCCGCATCATGAGCAGAGCTACCGGTGTGCTAACGGCTGTTGCCAAGTTTTGATAAACTACCCATGCAAAACCCAAATATCGCGTCATGTGTTCCCTCGATCCTACAACATAAACTAGATGGATGCATGTACTCGAGGACGACGTAGACGAACGTGAGAGCTTACGGCCCTTTACCCCGCTTCATGTGCAAAAAGCATGGTTTCTCCAAATCGTGATGAGCTGATCTGGGCCACTAGCCAGGACACTGAGGTGCACATGTTGGTGTGAAATGCAGCAGCTCCTGGCGACTTCAGCTGAGCAGGCCAGATCGATCTTGCGTCAACGTGCACCAAGCTCCACTTTCCAGGGAGCTAATAACAGTGGCCGTGCACTCCACGAGCTTCGGGAACCCTACCATCCAATTGGACTGTCTGCGGTGGAGATCAAGGTCTTGAGCTGCACAGGGGTCCTGTCCCACAGCTTACCAGCTCATGTCATAGTTGGTAAGTAACGCTGGTAAGTCACGTACTTCAGGTAGTCAACGCTGTAGTAACCGCAGCTCGAGTCGCAGGAGAAAGTTATGACAGGGATGCCTCATTTTTAGCTTCCTCGACCGTAGAATTGCTGCATGGATCTCCTGAAGATCTGAGAATCACCGGTACCCTGAAGATATTTGATCAGGCAATCTCGTGACGATCTTCAGCGCTGTGAAGTAAATCGCCAGATGCTTCACAGCCTGCCCAATTCTCTCTCGTCCACGATAGCTCCACTCATGACTGGGGGATCTTGCCGTCTCTGGTGGCTGCCAAAGAGGACGGCATCGCGGCCTCCTTTGGTTCCCCACCAAGCAACCCCAATAGCTGCTCTCTCAACGTCCATCTCTCCGCTGACAAGAATATCCCAGAACCGACGTTTGGCGACTTCTCTCATGGCCGGATTCGTGATCTCATTCAGCGCCATCGCTGTCATGGTCATCCAGTCTTCGACGATAGATAAGGGAAGGAATGGTAGCGCATCGATGAGCGTCAAAACGAGGGCACTCTGTTCCGAGAGTGGTGCCTCATCCTTGGCAGTCTGAGATGCCATAGCATCCGGGCTTGGAGGCAATGGCGCTGTGCCAGCGCCTTGCACGCGGAATCTAACCATTTCTAGGAGTGTTTCTGCCAACTCTGGCTTTGTTGCGGATATTGGGAAAGGGGGCGAGAGAATCTGCATCAGGGTTTTGAAGGCCAGTCGGAATTGGCGGGGAGATATATGCGTAGGGAACGAAGACAATAAAGTCTCCGCGTAGAATGGCCCCAGCTTCACGGCGATCGGACCGTTACCCGGGCATGAAAGGACTGAGAGCACAGCAGAATGTGCTGATTCGAAAAGTTCCACCATCTTTGGCGACAGAGGTGCAGAGTGTGTAAGATATGCCGTTGCCGGCTGCACAATTAGAGACTCGCAAAGATGGGGTGGTAGGTAAAGTGGGAGATGCTCCGCGACATTGAGGTAGAAGAGGTCGAGTGTCCTGTGCAGTGGATGTGCTGGAATAGAGCCAGGGGCCGTTGGCTTGATCTCCTGCAGAAAGGCGATAGATGCATCCTGATGCCTTGTAAGGATGTCAATAGATGTGAGGTAGGTGAAACTGTAGACTTGAAAGCCGTCATTGCCCCTTGATGAGATGAAGTAGAGGTTGCGAAGGGTACGCAGGGTCTTAGCAGCAACTGCTGAAGCAACAGCTCCATTTCTGAAGTATGGGTCCAAGAGGCTCCTTGCTACAATGGACTGCGAGACTGCAACCACCGCAAAGAGGGCTTTCTTCAACAATTGCCAGAGTCCAGGCCATGTAGACTCTAGCGTTTCTGGGGCAAGATATAGCCCTTCTTCCGACTCCTCGATTTCCGAGAGAATGGTTTTCTGCCAGTGACTGAAGATGTTGCTGGTGAAGGCCACGAGATCACCCTGAGCTTTCAGAACGGCCGGCCCACTTTGAGCCCGCTCAATTGAATATGCAATGAGCTTCGACAAAGGGCCAGCAGCTTCTACAAGGGGCCTTGCCCCGGTCTCGCGTAGACGGAGAAAAGACGAACTGTCTTGTGGCCAATTGTACTTCACTCCGATCCGGCGTACATCCAAAGTGACACTGTTCAGGAAGTGGAAGCCTTGGAAGCCATCTTCCCCAACTAAGCCACGAACTGCGATGGGCAGCAGCGCGTCGCAGTTCACCTGAGCCCGCGCCGGCTCAGTCAGAAGCGGGAATGCGTAGTTGAGCGCCAGCACAATAGCTGCCCCTGCAAATGGACCCTCACGAGCATGTGTTTCTAGCGCAAGGTTGGCAGCCGTCACCACGGCCTGTTCAACTGTTCGTCGCATGCTATGCGATAAGGACTCCCTGCCGTCGCCTTCCAGGCCCATGAGTATTCCTGTCAGGACTAGTACGTGTTGCCATCTTGCTGATCGCTCGTCCGCGCCCTTAGCTACAGCAGTAGCCCAACCCTCGCTACTCACGCCGCCGCCAACCGGGGGCCCTCGGCGTGTTGCATTGTCGAGCTCGTTCCGCCGCACATGGATCGCCGCGGTGTTGAATATGCTGACCACGCGGAAGCATGTGCGTAGCGGATCAGGTCGGTGCCATATCGCCGGCGCCGTTAGAAATTGAGAAGTCAGGAGGGAGATGTTGAGCGGATTCGAGAGGGTCGTGAGAAGCGTCACAGTTGATCCGAAGATCTGCTCGGTGCGCTGATGGTCATGGACATCCTGGTACAAGCCCAGAACAGTGGTAAGAAGGCGGTCGCTAGCCATGACTGCCCCGTATGTTATATATCCACAGTCATATATGCGGACTGAGCAGTTCAGGTCGCAGTGCTTCGTTCAATTTGGCGTTGTGTTGAAGTTGGAACGTTGACCGGCACTGATTACAAGATCCGGGGAAGGTAGCTCGGCTGGGGCTCTTTGCCGAGGCACCGCGCGCCCCAACCTTAAGCTCTGGCACCTGAACGCGGCGCAACACCCCAACTCCCAACACATCGATGCCGTATGACGGCGACGAGCGCAAGCTCACTCCTGCACAGACATGTCTACCAAAATGTAAGTTAGACATCTAGATGCAATCTCTAACTCCAGCTAACATCTACAAGAAAGCCTGGAGAGGGCTATCCCCCGGACGGATATGTCAGACCGCGATGGCCGGCATTGCACTGGCCGCCCCAAGACAAGCACTGGGGCCTCTACTACCTCGAAGACATGTGGCGCTACACCTTATTCTGGACGCTCCTGATGTACGCAGTTTTTCATTGGGGCGCCGCCGCGATTGCGATCATCATGCAGATAGGAAAGAGGCATACGAACTGGAAATACTTGTGGACGCTACCGATCCTATACACGCTCACTGCCGGCGCTGAAGCACTCGTAGCAGGAAGTGTAACTGGCGTCATGTGGGTTTGGACTGCCACATGCTGGTTCTGGGTGATGCTGACGATGCTGTAGGATTGGAGCCATATACAGAGCTGGTGGCTGGTATATGCCCACCTGGATCCCCTTCATTTGGGGATGGATCAATGTACTGGTTCTGGTCGTGTCATCATTCTCTATACAAGGCGGTCTATAATGATTCACTCATATCGTTGGCACGCTTTCGCCAGTCAGAACCTCGACGCCGGATTCGCTGTCCGCAGCAGCCCCTGTATCAGAGACCTCGATCTTCTTCAGGATCCGCGCTGGGTTCCCTACGACGACCGTGTACGGCGGAACATCCTTGGTCACAACACTGCCCGCTCCGACGGTTGCCCCTTTGCCTATTGTCACGCCAGGGACCACAATGACATTGCCGCCCAGCCAGCAATCCTCCCCTATGGTGATCGGCTTGCCGAACTCAGGACCACGTGTTCCATTGCGGATTGAAGGGTCTAGTGGATGCCCTCCGCTGTAGAAGGAGCAGTTGGGTCCTACCAGAGTACGTGAACCCACGTAAATCGGGCTAGTATCGATCCAAGTGCTGTTCGAATTGATATACACATTGGATCCGAATCTGTTTACGATGAGCATTGATGAGGCTGATGATTGGACAGGTTAGTACATACTTCACGTTGTATCCATAGTCCAGCTTGATGGGCCCATCCACCCACGGATAATCTTCCAATTGCGCCTCATCCTCCTCATCAGTTGGGGCCTGGGGAGGGAGAGGGGTTTTGTCGTTGGTGACGCTGTGGAATTGAGTTCAGCTCGAGAACAAAGGAAGCCTGAGAGATCAAGAAAGAGAATGAGACGCTAGTGAAATACTTACTCCTTCCAAAGCTCGACAAGTCTGCGTCGTGATACGTCTCCGGCTCTGTTGTATGCCTCAAAGGCCAGTCGGCATCTCCGTCTATCTGCTACCAGGTCCGGTGTGAATGCGTAGTACAGCTCTTCGGCAGCCATGCGGCGCCGGTTCTCTTCTAAGTCAACCTTGGGGGCAGCCATGTTGCACAACGTAACGCGGGTTTATGGTAACACTACCAGATGACAACTCTGATCTTTGTTGAATATTCGTATACTTGCAAAACAGTGACTCTGTATTACAACCCGGTAATTGAGTCTGTTTATTCCTGTCAAGATAAATTGTATTTTGAAAGCACACGTAGAATTCCAAGTAGAAAGATGCTGAGAAAATAGCGCCTATAGCGCCTATAGCGCTGTAGCCCCGCTGTAGCGAGACGGGATTTGGTTTTGCTGCGTCATCCGTTGGAGCCTTTGAGCTGTGCCTTATCGGGCTCAAAGAGCCATTAGGTAGCGTAACCGGAGGCGGCACTGGCCAGGTAGCCCATTAGCCACAGTAGCGAGAACTCAACACCAAGACAAGAACAATACTACGGCGTCCACAGCATCGCCTATTGTCTTCAGGCGGGGGGCAGTAGCCTCAACAATATAAAGACAAAGATCTCTCGAGATGGTCGACAGCTCAAGGTCTAATTCCTCTTCTTTGTTCTTGACTCATTTCTGTTACTAGACACGCGCCGCCTCGGTCCTGAATCTTCCCTAGCCAAACTACAGAGTGACGAGCAGGATGGACAGCTCATCGAGCTCTTCCGAATATATATGGGATGAGAGGTGAGGTTTCTATTTCTTGAGTCTACATCCTAGTCCGGGTATTGCTCGCAGTCTTCTGCTGCAAGTGCCATAGCCTGTCAGCACTCTATTGGCGCGACTCAGTAGGCTACTAGATAGCTGCCGAAGACATGCCTTCTGCTTCAAGCATCTCCCCCCTTTCCACACCTTCCGGCCTCCTAAATCCATCCTCTCTCCCAAGAGACACACAAGAGGATGTCGCCCGGTCGACGGCGTGCAATTCGGGCCTGGGTCGTAACAGACGCCGCTTCTTCGCTCAGTTCGCAGCCATGGACGCATACTCTCCAGCTGCTTCACCCCTATTCACCACGACCCCTATCTCGCCAGGAGACGCAGATGCTGACGTCCTCCCGCTCCTCAGTCCCATAGCGCAAACTCAGGCCGACCACTTCGACCCGGACCGGCCCTACCAGCCCGGGCAACCCAAGTCGCTGGCTGGCATCGCCATGCGGGCCTTCTGCCTCGGGATCGCTCTTGGCCTCGCCGTGCTGCTGACGCTGGCGACGCTGGCGTGGACGGCGAGCCCGCTGTGGCGGCTGCCCTTCTTCCTCGCCGCGCTGGCGACGTTCCACTTCCTCGAGTTCTGGACCACGGCCGCGTACAACACGCGCAACGCCGACGTCAAGTCGTTCCTGCTGACGGCCAACTGGCCCGCGTACGCGATCGCCCACGCCGCCGCCTCGCTCGAGTGCCTGGTGGTGGGCGTCGCCTGGCCGGGCCGCTCGTGGGCGCCGCTGCACGGCGGACTGCTCGTCACAGCGGCGGGCCTGGCGATGGTGGTCGTGGGCCAGGTCGTGCGCTCCGTAGCCATGGTGCAGGCGGGCGCGTCCTTCAACCACGTCGTCCAGCAGTACCGCACGCGGCAACACACGCTCATCACGACTGGTATTTACGCGCACCTGCGCCACCCCTCGTACTTTGGCTTCTTCTGGTGGGGACTCGGCACGCAGCTCGTCATGGGCAATGTCATCTGCTTCGTGGCGTACACGGCTGTGCTTTGGCGTTTCTTCTCCTCAAGGATCAAGCGGGAGGAGCAGCTGCTTGTTCAGTTCTTTGGCGACGAGTATGTGGATTATAAAAGGAGAACGGGGACAAAGATCCCGTTTGTACCGTGAGAAGGAGTTTCTGGGATCAGGCGTTGGAATGTATGAAGAACTGTAGAGTAGGACGTTTATCATCACTAATATTGGCTACTGCACAATCACATTCAGATAGCCAAAGCTCAGACACATGGCAAGTGTTGGGGATGCATAGAATATAATCGTGTTGAAACAGGGCCATTGCTTCATCTGCCTGTTGCTGGTTGAAGATTGCTGCTGCGGTGCGAAAACACATCTAGCCACATCCTAGGCCAGCCAGCCCAAACCAACCCGTCTATAATATTGACCCTGGTCATCCCATAACTCCGTAAAGACTTCCCTGTTGTCGCCGTGTCCTATCACTTGGAGGCCTGGTTGGCAGACCACCTTTTGCTTACACTGCCGTACTTTGCCTGCCACGCATAGAAATACATCAACGCCGCGAACGGCTGCCCAAAGATGGTGAACGACACCCAGAAGATGCAGTTGCCGAGAAGGCGGCCCGTCGGTGTCTGCATTTTTTCTAGGGGCCGGGTGAGTGCAATGAGAGGGAGCTGAAGCAACATGCCCGCAAACGCGACACCTGATGTCAAGTCAGCTGAAGAAATTCCAGGGAAGCTATACCAGAAGTGGAGGCTTACCGATAATATTGTGGGTGGGAATGCCGACGAGCAGCTCGTGGAGAAAGGCAGAGGCTAAGAAAACAGCCATACTGGCGGCTGTGGGATTCCAGCCACGACCAAGAAGAGGAGAGAATACATGGCGTCTGAAAAAGGTGTACACTGGCTTGTTCCACGTCCGCCAGTACGTTCCCAGACTGTCACTATTCCACCAAGCATCGTAGAAAGATCGATCCGCAAACCGAGTTACCTCCGCAAGAGCATTCAAGAATGATTGGAACAGGGCGAAGAAACCCGCTAGCCAGATGACCAGCGAGATGGTAGAGAGCTTCAGCAGCCGCTCGAGAATGGACGTGACGTCCAGCGAGGCGATCTTGTCGAGCGAGTTGAGGAGCGTCGGTGCGGCATATTGCGCGCTGAGCACCCACATGAAGACGCTGAGACACACGACCTCTGCGAGACGCTTGACCACGAATACCCACCGTATCTTATCCGTCCGCGGATACACGGGCTGATAGACGAGCGTGGGTGCCCACCAGAAGTAGACGAGGTTGCTCATGGTGATGTTCTGCGGGTACGGGCACGCTGCATAGATCGTAGGCAGTTCTTCCAGCTCGCCGGTCGTGGGATGCAGGTAGGCATGACGGAGATCTCGATTAGTCCAGGCATAGGAAGCCGTCTTAAGCCAGACAATGACGGCGTGCATCTCAGTGATTGTTCCGATCAGAGGATGGTGAATATGGAAGTAGACCACATAGGAAGTCACTAAGAGGGCGAATGTCACGTTTGCAGTATGCGTGTAGGCGACAATTTTCCAGGTCGCAAGAAACTTCTTGGACTCATCCTCTGTGGGACTAGTCGTGCCATCTCTCTTGGCCATCTGAGCGCGTGATGCTTTTGCTTGCTGAGCTGCGGTGAGCTCGATGATGTACGCAGCGAAGAGAGAGCACGGGATGAGAAAGTACAGAGCGAGGCCCAAGACCATGTCGTGCCTGCGGACGTCATGGCAATTGATGCATATGAGAACGCCATACTAAATGATGGTGAGAATATGAAAAGCAACTATTCCGGAAATTTGGGCCAACCTTTTGGATGTTCTCAATCATGAGTCGAAGGTTGCCAACAACTGAGAGATCTTTGTTAGTTTCGATGACGCAGCCACACTTCAGCAAATAATGCGCCTCTCACCCAGAACAATGACCATCAAGTTTCGAAACCCCAGGAAGCTGGGCGTCTCGGTAGCATCGTGGCTCAAGCACGAAGGACGCGACTGCGAATGAACAGCGACGGTATGGCGATATTTCTTCTGCAGGTTGGAAGCCTTTCGCAATTCCTTGACTGCATCGCCGTTGGCAGATGCGATCTCAGTAGGGGGCGGCTGCGTGGTATTCGGGGGCCGACGAGCTACGCCATTGGCAGGAGCCGTCTCGAGGCCCGTCACCGTCGCCGAGTTCATGATATTCACCTGGGCATCGGGCGGGCGATTGAAAATAGTGAAGAGAGCTGGAAAATAGATGTTGTCTTCTGGGTGAAGTAGAGTTCACTGAGCCAAGTGATTTGTTATCTTTTTCAGTGGCGAGCACCCTTAACAGACCCTGGATGTCTCTTTGGTATGGCGCCACAATTCCAAGTGTCAAAACAGGGCCGAAGCTCTAGACAGCCGAGGCCCGTAGTGCGTAGCTTAGGCCCGGTCGGAGCAAACTCAATCACTAAACTAAGATTCACTGGAAGTCTCAGGGACTCATTCGAGGATGAGACTGGCAACGAAGTCTTGAGATACTAAAGGCAGGCGACTAGGGAGCCAGCAATACGAGAGAAGGAGAATAAATGTTGAGAGTCTTCAAAGCCAGAGTCCCAACGCTTGGCATGGAGATATGGAATGCCAATGCAGCACTGAGATCGGTTTTCACCGGGTTGTGTAGGTGTGTGCGTATGTGTGTGTGGTAGGATTGATTGGCATTGCAGCAAACCGCTCGCCCTCCCATCCATCCATCCATCGCCTTAGCAGATGCACGTAATAAGCCATGGTCTGTTGGATGGTGACGGGAAGGGATGGTTGGATGGATAAGGTGCTCATTAGAGATCCACGTCGCTCAAGCGAGACATAGCGTTAACGGTGCTCTTCATCTCCTTAGGAGTTCAGTCTGCCTTACGACACGGTAACTTCTCTGAACCTGTGTCTGGAGAATAAAATCGATGGATTCTAGACCAGGCCGGCGCAGGAGCCCGCTCGAGGAGACACCGTGATAGACCAGTAATGATTGTGGCTGGATTTATCATGAGCCAACTGTGACGTTTTCTAGTTGCATGTACAAGCTGCACCTGCAAGCCCCTCTTCGCTCTGCAGAGCTCTTTGCAGGGCAGAGCACTAAGGTGACATTCACTAAAGTTCCCTACAGTGGGCTTGCTGCAGCTGGCTGCACTTGACAACGGTGTGAGATCTGGGATCATTGCTAGCGCTGTAAAGTTGATCCGATCCAGCCTTCTTTGTTCCCGATGCCTGCAGGTCTCCACCCTTGCTTCTGCTGCATCCAATGAATCTTACGCGACGACGACGGCATATCAAAGAGACAAGCTCAGCTCCCGAGACTCACATTCACTTTAGCTGTAGCCAACCCGCATGGGACTTTACAGACACTGAGACCCCGGCTCATCATATCCTCTTTTCAGAGACCTGAAGTGAGGCCACGCTCATTTTCATGGGCTCATAGCCATTATGGCTTACGGTCCTCGTGGGGACTATGCAGCCGACAAAGGCTTTGCCGGTGGGGAGGGAGGAGGTCACGATGGATTCGTGAGAGCCCGTGGCAGACGTGAGTCTTTCTTCCTACCTGTCACATCTCATTCTGGTTCAAACGCTTTCAAAGATGGCCAAGGCATGCAAGTTTCATCCGCCGCAGCTTGCCGTTCTATGAAGAGCTCTCATCAAGCCATGAGCCTATCCTCTCAACCCATTCCCAAATTCAGCATCTGCAGACATTCGGTTCAAACTTGTCAATATGAATCGATTTGCGCAAAGCATGAGCAGCGGAGAACGGCGTCGAGCAAGACTGACTGATGGCTATGTAGGTCCTGTCACGGATTATGGCGCGACTGTGGTCCATTGGATGCGCAATTGGCAACCCAGGTACAGGGGATCCTACAAGGGCGAGCTTGAGCGTCCAAGCCCGAGCTATATTGTAGATGTGTGTATCTCACTTTATTCTCAACAGCAGGATCGGCATTACTGACCCTGTTTGGCAGATGCTACCACCTCATGCGAGAGCTGCAAATCCAGCGGATTCTGTACCTACTCGTCATCTTCATTCATCGCTTAACAAGATCAAGCATCCCGTCAACATTGTTCGATGGACACCAGAAGGCCGCAGACTCTTGACAGCCTCGAGCAGTGGCGAGTTCACGCTTTGGAATGGCACCGGGTTCAACTTCGAGACGATCATGCAGGCTCACGATGCTGCTATTCGTGCTCTGGAGTACTCACATAGTGATGACTGGCTGGTGTCAGCTGACCATGACGGCATCATCAAGTATTGGCAACCTAACTTTAACAACGTCTCAAGCTTCAGAGGACATCACGATCCAATCCGAGATCTTGCTTTCAGTCCTACAGACTCAAAGTTTGTGACAGCTTCAGACGACCAGACCCTCAAGATCTGGGATTTTGCGAGCATGACCGCAGATTCAACGTTGACAGGGCACGGATGGGATGCGAAGAGTTGCGACTGGCATCCTACTAAAGGTCTCATTGTCTCCGGATCGAAAGACCATCTCGTCAAGCTCTGGGATCCAAGGACTGGCCGATGCTTGACAACCCTACACGGGCACAAGAACACTATCACGAAGACCATGTTCGAGCGGGTTCGCGGAATGTGTCTCGCAACATCTGCAAGAGATCAAACAGCCCGGGTCTTCGACCTTAGAATGATGCGCGACATCTGTCTGCTAAGAGGTCATGAGAAGGATATCTCAACTCTCACCTGGCACCCAGTACACGCCAACCTCCTGAGCACCGGAGGCTCTGAAGGTGCCCTCTTCCACTACCTACTAGATGAACCGAACACACCACCGGGCCACTCGGCATCATTGGCCCCATACGACAGTGCAGACCCGCAGACTGCGCCTGCACAGACTATATACCCAGCCCACAAGATCCCCTTTGCCCACGACTTTGCTATATGGTCTCTAGACTGGCATCCGCTGGGCCATATCCTCGTGTCGGGATCCAACGATCGCATAACACGCTTCTGGTCCCGTGCACGGCCTGGTGATGCTGATTACATCCATGACAGGTATCATATTGGCGAAGCCGCGGCGGAGGCTCAAGGAACATGGGACCGAAGAGGCAACCGCAAACAGAGACAGGAGGAGGAGGAACAGGAAATGGAAGATGAAATGGAAGGCCTGGTGGATCAGAAGATGCCGCTTAAGCAGCCATCCGCCTTCCCGGGCATTCCTGGCTTACCACTCCCGAGCGCCCGACCAGGCGCTGTTCCGCCCCCACCTCCAATGATACCCGGAGTCAGTGCACCATCCGGTGCGCCGACTGGACTTCCATTCCCTCTTCCTGGGCTCCCCGGGCTGAACGGGGCTCCTCCGCCACCCCTCCCAGGCCTAGACCCGAACAATCCTCCTGATCTTGCCCAGCTGGCCGAACTCATGAAGAGAGCAGGCCTGCCCCCGCCTCCTCCGCCTGGTATGCTGCCGCCAGGATTGGTACCACCGCCAAACTTCACACTACCGCCCGGGTTTCCACCTCCACCTCCCGGTGTTCCTGGCCTGGACAGTGATGCGGATGCATCTTCTAGGCGAGGAAGAGCGCCACTGCCGAGTCAGGAAGAAAGTCTTCGCTTAGAGCAGAGCAAGGGCAACTACACACGTGTTCGATAGGAGAAGAACGCGGTTGGACAATGGTGGCCATGTATGACTAGTTGATCGGCGATGGATATAACACGATATCCCTGGCGTTGGGGGGACAATGAAAACAGCGGTTCGGTCTTGGGAAAAGCGTTGACTGATGTCCCGGTAGATACTGTTCATCAGATTATAGGAACAGTTGAACATTCTACATGCTCACTTGACTTTAATTTGAGATCATGCTTTTGGTTTGATCTGTCGCTTAGGAGCTATCTGCTATCTAAGTAATGCGTGAAGCCATCCTTCCCTGCCGATTCTACCTGATGCTCGCTGATGCTCGCGCCGGAACTCTCTACTAATGCAATGCTGGCCGTTTCTGTGTGTCCGTCCAGTAGATGTGCTATATATACATGGCGGGAGGTGAAAATGCAATATCGAACGTGATACGTGCCGACATAATACAAATACAAGCAGATGGAGAAGCCTTTGCAACTGCTGAATATGCAAACCAGTCCAGTCCTCCACTCTATCTCTCCATCCATGGAGCAGACCTCCTTCTGTCTCCCTTTGCATGTTACTACGCCGGGCTTGGACTCCTCGACTGGGGCTTCGCAAACGCCTTCTGCCGCTCGGCGTACTCGCGCACGACGATGGCGCACGACGTGTCGGCGCAGAGGCGCTTGCGGCGCTGGACGGGCAGCTTGGTGGCGAACTCGAGGCCGGAGGCGCGCTCGACGGCCTCGACGGGGACCTCGAAGTCGGTGAGGGGCTTCTCGTTGGGGATGGGGGCGTTGGGCAGGACGAAGGCGCCGAGGGCGACGTTGCCGCCGACGAGGCCGTCCTCGGCGAAGATGACCTTGTAGAAGTGGGTGGGCACGGCGACGTTGGGCGGGTTGCCGATCATCTCGTAGGTGACGCGCCACTTGCCGTCGGCCGGGTCGCGGCGCGGCAGGTACAGGGGCCCGGTGACGACGCGCACCGACGGGTACCGCTGCGTCAGCCGCCGGCAGAAGTCCTCAAAGTGCGCCCAGTAGTCCCGGTTGAAGCCCTCGCCCACCTGCGGGCACATGTTGCTCAGGAAGAACGTCTCGTCCATCGCCGCCTGGCTCCAGCGCGCGTCCGCCGCGGGCACCTGGTGGCCCCGGTCGTAGCCCGACCGGAAGTAGTCCTTCAGCTTCGCCCGGTACTTGTCTGGTACGGCGCCGTCCTCCACGAAGACGCTGTGCTTCCGGTCACCATCGCGTAGGGCTAGTGACTGGGGTGTAATGTGCTCGACTACCCAGTGCGGGTTGCGCAGACGCCGGTCGTAAGAGGATATCAGAGCTGATCGACTTGCAACGTCGGCTACTGGACCGGGGAAGCCATACTCGAATAGTCCTGCCGGGTTGACGGGTGCCTGGCCCAAGGCAGTCGCAGTCGTAGTGCTGGCTGCGGGCACGGGAGGCCCAAAGACCTGGCTCGCGGGAACAGGTGCTTGTGCGGAGGATATGCTGGTTGTTGTGGTAGTTGTGATAGTCTTTGTAGTCTCGGCTGTCTTCTTCGTCTCGGACGATCGCAGATTGTACATGGCTGCAGTAGCAACGGCGCCTGCTCCAGCGCCGGCGACTGCGATGATTGCGAAGGTAGCTTTTGACATCTTGGCGGATCCTCCTGCCAGCCCGAAGGGCTCGCTGCGCTGTGATTTCCTTTTATACCGGCCGCCTTGAAGCGGTGAGAGTCAGGCGAAGGACTGCGGTGAGCAAGTCCTTGACCACGAGGGTAAGAGGCACACCTCGTGCTGGTAGGGTGTGGTCGAGTTTGAGATATATGTCTTGCTCGATCGATGTAAGTCCTCAGTCGGGGGGTTTTTTTTTTTCTGCCAGGAACGCGAACGGGGACGGTTAGCTGGGATGAGGCGCGTTCAGTGGTTGGCCAGCTCACGTGGGGACCGGGATAGCGGGCTGCTCCACTGGAAGGACCCTAAAGCCCGTCCCATGTTAGGCGTAAGGCGCTAAGCCTCACCTTAAATCGAGCCGCCCGGGCCAGCTGCCAGCTCGCGCGATCACCTGTCAAAGTCAGTCTGATAGACTGTACCTAGATACTATCACTGAATGCACTGCACTTGATACTCGGTTTACGATGTCTTCTCCGTTGTCTCCGTTTCTAAAGCCGGGAGAAAGAGCGAGAGACCCTCTTTCCAGGGAAGGAGCCAGGCAGACAAGTCCCGTGCCACAGAACAGACACCTTGATGGCCCGGGTAATGCACCTATGCGCGCTCACCGCAGCGGTGAGAAAAGGGAACGAGCCTTGGCGGGTGCTGGGGGCAGCGTAAAGCCTGCTAGGCGGCCCTGGAGTTCTAACACAGGCACACGCACACATACATAATAGGCGGGCGTGGGGGCTGCGTGTCCCTGCCCATCAGGGTCCTCAGCTAGCGGTGCTACTGCCGCTCCTGCTGCTCAGGTCAAAGACTGCCAGCGAATGCCAGCAGATAACACTGCTGAGTTGGCGGTGGGTGGTGGGTCGCCTTAGGTAAGGCAATGCCTTAGCGAATGGCAGGCAGGCAGTTGTCAGAACGCCGCCCCAGCAGCCCGCCTGATGACATCGTTCTTAGCTACCGGCTCGCCCGCCGCCCTTCAATGAGCTAGCTACTTAGTACGGAAGAAAGTCAAAAGCCGACATCACGACTAAACACTAATTCCACGTATGTGAGGTGACATTGATCATTAAGCACAGTCTCAGCCCTGTCTGCTACCCCGTTTATTACTATACTTCCTCTTCAAGATTCAAATCATTATCTTCTTCCCGTCTATATTTGACTGCTGCGTTCTGTATAGCTTTCTCCGGAGGGCTACTCTGCTGCTGTCAAGCGTGCGCAGTGTCTCTGGTCAGCCGATCAAGCTGTGAGACAGGCGTGCTACTTCACCACAAAAAATCTACCAACGACAGCGACGAGCTGCCCACCTCTTAGCTACGCCTGATCGACAATCCAGATCTTCGGGTCCCGACAGCGACCTCGACCTCGCCCTCGCCCTCGCCCTCGACGAGCAGACTCCCCGAACCCAGCGCGCGTGTGCATACGGGCTACTGCAGGCACCACCTGAGATCCGTCGAGTCAACGCAGGGGCACAAGGTGTGGGCGGCCGACCATGGAGGCCACCGGCGTGGACAATGACACCCGCGGCTGGATCATGTGCATAGTGAGCGGACTAGGTGGGTGACCTCGCTTCTCGCGCCAGCAGGCCGAGTTCATGAACCACTGCAAGAGGCTGGCTGGCTAACCATTTCATAACTATCTTTAGCATGCATCCTCGGCGCCTGTGTAATATGCGTCGACCTCGTTATCCGCTACATACCAGGGAAGGCTGGCTTTAGGATACAGGACAGCAGTGCCTTTCTGGCCTGCTCCCTCAGTTTAAGCTTCGGTGTCATGGTCAGCACATTCCTCCTCGCTTGATCCTTGCGTCACATGCTTTTAACTGCTTGCTAACTCTGTTTTGAACAGCTATTTTCCGCACTGAATAGCATGCTACCGTCTTCAAAACGTTACCTTGCGAAGGGTGGCTTCGCTCACACGGAAGCGAGCCTGATCATGATGGCATGTTTCATTGGCGGATTCATTGGCATACAAGCGATTTCAAGAATACTTCATCAACTCATGCCCTCGCATGTCGTGGAATGCGACCACAGCCATGACGAACACGTTATAGATACCCATTCTGAATCGCATAGCAGAAGGCATTCGAGAGCAAGTCACGACAGAGGGCGACTGACACGACAAAGGTCGTCGCTCATAGATCCTGCACATCATGTCCATCCCCCCAAAACAGGAGCATTTCCCGAGGTTAACGGAAACGGCAATGTGACAGAGTCAACGCCGCTTCTACCAACTGCAGAGGTTCTAAATGGACGATCAAAAGCAGACCAGCGGCAGCGGGACATGTCAGCTAGAAGCGACACCCACGCACCTCTCGGCCACGCTCATCATGTGCACGCACCCATCACTAAGATTCGTAGCCGTTCTGGACTGCAGCCAGAAAGTCGAAGGCCTTCCATGGTCGAGGTCCGCAACCGAGTCATGTCCTTTGTGAAGGATACGAAACGCAACTGCGATGGTGACGGGCCTTGCTTCGGCTACACCGACCCGTGCGGCCAGGAGTGCTTTAAACATCTGGGGAGCCGATCAGCACTTGCGAGGCAGCCAGCGGTTCTCCGAACTACTATGGGTAGCCTGTATCCAAACTCGCATCCCGTCTTTCCTGAGGTGCCAGAGTTCGAGGAGGATGGTTCTCTCGCATCGCCCCTCAGCCCTACGCATCGCATCAGTCGTGCCCGCTCCCGAGAGACGGCTGACCGGGAGGCTGAAGCGAGCGATGACGAGGAATGGTGCGAGCAGATGTCGGAGGGAGACCCGGAGGCACAGCACCATCACCACGTTCCTACGAATGCGTTCCTCTCGATCGGGCTGCAGACTGTGATAGCAATCGCTCTGCACAAGTTTCCAGAAGGCTTCATCACGTACGCCACGAATCACGCCAACCCTTCCCTTGGGTTCAACGTCTTCATGGCGCTCTTCGTCCACAATATCGCAGAGGGCTTCGCAATGGCACTGCCACTGTACATGGCGCTCGGCAGCCGGCTGAAGGCGATCCTGTGGTCGTCTCTGCTCGGCGGAGCGAGCCAGCCCCTCGGCGCTGCCATCGCGGTCCTGTTCTTCAAGCTGTCCAAGAAGACCAACATCATCATTGACAACGTGGCGTATGCGTGCCTGTTTGCCATCACGGCGGGCATCATGACGAGCGTGGCGCTGCAGCTCTTCGTCGAGAGCTTGAGCCTGAACCACAACAGGAACTTGAGCATAGGGTTCGCGTTCCTGGGCATGCTCCTGCTCGGTCTGAGCAATGCGCTGGTGGCGGATGATCATTGAAAGTAGCCATGGGCTTTACATTGGTTTCAGGCGGCATTCAAGGCGTGTTAGAGTTTAGGAGTAATTGCATTTTGTTTCAGGGTTATAAGGGAGTTTCTTTCTGCCATGATAAAACAGGTGGCATGGAATCATTAAGGATATCGGTGTGCTCAGGGTATGAAGCTTCGAAACGGGTCATACAAAAGGAGTTGACTTGCTAGACTGTAGAACTAGCCACAGGTTTCGGAAGGCAGTCACTTCTTACAAAGGGTTTACCACTGTCCCAGGAATGATCCTCGACAATCAAGTTGTCTTTATCAGAGCTCTACGTTTTCCCTGGTTTGACATCTAAGTGATTGTCTCATTGATCAGAGGCACATGCCTCGTCTATTCATCGTAGCTCATAAAGTACACGGGTATCTCTTTTTCGCAGACCTTTTCTTTTCCTCCAAACGCCATAAAACAACCTCAAGACGAGTAGCCGTTGACAAAGAGGTTGGGATCAAATTCAGCCTCTGGCTGAGCGTCAATGAGCTTCCGCATCTCCTCCTCCTCGCGTGCCCACTCGTCGTTCGTGTAGAATCCGGCAGGGTCAGCACCTCCGTCCGCTCCGATCCAGAACTGGTCGGCGTAGATTGGAGTCTGGCCCGGCTCGCCCAGCATGTTGTACTCGTCGGCGTAGCCCACCTGGCCTCCTATGGCTTGGGTGAAGGCATCACTCGCGAGTGCGACACTAGCATTAGGCTCGGGTTGTGGATGCTCCAGCTGCATGTGAAGGGCGAGATCGTATTGGCGAGTGAAGCGAGCAGGGCAGCCGTCAACTGCGCAGAAGACATTGCGGCGCACGTCATCCACCACGCCGGAGATTTCGTCGATGAAGTTCAATGCCACGGCGGGCTCCTCATCATCCTTGCCATGGCGCTCGGGCCGCGGCTTGCCCAGGTGTACGTGGTGGATGTGAATCTCGAGCGACTTCTTGCTGCTGAAGCCGTCGCCGCAGCCCTCCTCTGTCCAATTCCAGTTCTCGAGGCCGGGGCTTGTCCAGGTGTCCAGCTGGCCACACACGAAGCGGAGACCCTCGTGCGCAGTCCGGTAGTGCATTAGCATGTTGGACTTGCGCGTGAACTTCTTGTCGCAGTCCTCCGCCATGCACTCGACTGTCTTGCGGTCCTCGACTGTCAGCCCGGAGTGAAACATCTCCATGTGCTGCTCCAGCTGAGACACTTTGCTAAAGCGCTTGTTGCAGAACGGGCAGTCGTTGTGCTCGTGGCGGATGTGATACTCCAGCTGAGCCTGGGTAGTAAAGCCGACAGCAGGTTGATACTCGCCGTCCTCCTCTTCTTCGCCGACCTTGGTGCACTCATCGCACCAGAAGCGGAGCTCGCCATGTTCGCGTTCGGTGTGTCTTCTCAATGCGCCGCTGGTGTCGAATCCCGCACCACAGTCATCTACCGCGCAAGGAAATGCCTTCTGGCCTAGATGGTCTGTTCGGATGTGGCGCTGAAGAGTCTGATGCTTTCGGAAAGACTGGTCGCAGCCCTCGTAGCCCGTGCAGCGGAATCGGTTTGCGCCGGCGTGGACGGCAGCATGGCGCCTCAATCTGGTGGCCGTCAGGAAAGACTTGCCGCAACCCTCCTCGGTGCAGGTGTACTGGCGCTCGTGGGTGTGCGAGCCCTTGATGTGCTGCTTCAGGTGCTTCTCCTCAATGTACGACTTGTCACAGTCGGCGAACGTACACTTGAAGGGGCGATCATTCGTGTGGGATCTGAGATGAGCAGCCAATCGAGCTGGACGATTAAATGTCTTGTCGCAGTTGGGAAAGGTACATTGGATGGTCTTCTCGTCGGAGGGAAACTTGCGAGAAGCAGAAGAGATAGTAGTCAACGCGGTATCGGGTGTCAGCGTTGGAGTAGCGACTGGGGTCACATTGAGGTCTCCGAGATTGGAGGACTCGTGGTCTTGGTAGTAGGAAGGATGATGGTCCTGGAAGGTGGGGATGGGCAGCTGGGGATAATCCGAGACCAATGCATCGGCATGCTGCTTTTTGAATGGGCTAGAAAGCCCTGGATCCGCTGCTTTGCGCTTCATCTTTGATTATGAAGCAAGCAGCTCGAATCGTGGGTGGAGGTGTATTCCTCATTCACATCCCCTCGTCTGTCTGTCGATGAACTTGTGAGAGCGGTCGGGAAGATGGAACTTTTTCTGCCAGAAAAGTGTGGGCAGGCGCCAAGATTTCGCACCCCACAATTGGACAAGGATGGCAGGTCCGGTTATTACTGGTCACTACAAGGCCCTTTCGGGGCAACAAAAAATCCGTTTCTGGGTTGTAATTGGTCAAAGCTTCCCTTCCCCTGTGATTGTCAGCCTCGCCAAATTTTTGCGGCTTTCAGCCTTCGCCCCGCCAAACTGGCTTTAGCTGGAGTCCTAAACACGACAAAGAAGAATTGGTCTGTCTCTTCGACGAGGACTTTCGGCTCTTTCCCACTCTCATTCAATCTCACGCTCATCAAGATGTCTGACTACGGTGGAGGAGAGGATGATTACAATGCTCCGTAAGTTTGTGCTATGCCTTTGCGCCGTGTCCACGAGCTAAGACGACAATAGGGACGAGCCCGCCTTCGAGGAGGATGAAATCCAGGAATACTATGACCCCGAACCGGCTGAGGAGGGGGAGGAGTCGCGCTATGCAAACCATGACGACGACGCAGACAATGTGATCGTATCTGGCGATCCGTCGGCGGCGGCAAACCAGGGCAAGACGCCCGAGAAGTCGCACAAAGACAAGAAGATTCCCAATGACCAGAGGACAACGACGCCTTACATGACAAAGTATGAAAAGGCACGCATTCTGGGAACACGTGCCCTGCAGATTAGGTTGGTCGCCCCGTCCAGCTCCATGAGCTCTGGACTCTATAGCTCATACACTATTCTAGCATGAACGCCCCAGTACTGGTCGATCTTGAGGGAGAAACAGATCCCTTGCAAATCGCTATTAAAGAGTTGCGAGAGAAGAAAATCCCCCTTATCGTGCGACGATACATGCCTGATGGATTGTATGTCTTAACCAGTCTCTACCATTTGTTGCCCTGTTCTAAAACCCTGCAGCTACGAGGATTGGACATGCGAGGAACTGCTCCAGTGAGCGTTTGCGCACTCGAGATGGAACCTTGGTAGTAGCCCAAGAAGTATTCCCGTTTCTGAGTCAGCCAGTCGACTTCTCCGTCCACGCAAGCTCCTCAAATCATGGGACGTGTACGAAGCATGCATTAGCGATGGCGTTACGGTTGGAAGGATTCTAAAATTTTAATATCTGCTGAAGGCTTCGCAGTCAAGGATAGCAGCTTTCCGGAAGAATTCAAAAAATTTACCCAAACCTCCTCAAATCTTGGGGTCAAGCTACCTCGTATTAGGCGTCGAAACCAAGCGCATCGGTCTCGGCAGATGTTGGACAGTTCTTCCCGTGCCGAAAAATGCTAGTTTCTAGACCCCTTGTATGCTGGCGGCACATGTCAACTCATGCGGTGTAACTGTAGGCACTGTTCGCTCGTTTACCTTCCGCATATACAAACGCTCCCAAGTCTGATTATTTGGAAGTGCAAGGCATTTAGACGCGCACGGCGGCCAATGGTGTATTTGCAGGAGATGCCTTGTGTTACACATAGGTCTTGTTGTATCGTACGGCCGCAATGTATAACATCCTTCCTAACTGCGGGCTCTTCAGGCATGCCGCAAACTAAGTAGAAATCATTCTTCTCATTGGCAACAATACGATATGAAAAAAGTAGGCTACTCTGCAATGCGACCTAGATCTCTTGCAATATCAATGTTCTTCAAATACACCTAGCTTACATCATAGCATATAGAGACTTTCAAGTCGCTTTGTGGCTGACCTGGTTCTGGGGATGGCCAAGATCTTATAAGTGCTCATCTTTTCTTTGTTGTATTCACTGTCATATTTGTCTTTGAACAAATGGGCAAGGTCCATTTGCTTCGTCATGATGCCTCTGAAGCATTTGCTCACTTTTCTAGCCCCTACGTTGGGGGTAGTTTCGTATGCATCTGTCAATGAGCCATATTCTCAGGTCGATATAGACTCTGGCAAAGTTGTGACACATCTCAATAATATAGCCCGCCATGCCTCCATCGAATTAATCAAGACATCGACTGACTCCAAATGTACTCTTCACAATCTGAACGTTCGCAGAGAATGGTCAGTCCGCCGATCCCCAATATTCAGGGGTAAGCTAAAAGGAAAACAAGGCGAAATCTGAAAACTGAGGAAAAGAAGGATTTCATTGCAGCAGTTCAATGCCTTCAATCACAGCCTAGTATATATCCAGCCGGTGTTGTACCAGGATCGAAGTCTATCTTCGATGACTTTGTTGCCGTTCACATGAAGCAGACTCCGTACATACATATTTCTGTACGAACAACTCCCGTCGACTCTTCAGATATTGAAGCCTAACTCGCACCTACTAGGCAATATTTCTGACATGGCATCGCTACTACATCTGGACCTATGAGAAGATGTTACAAGAGAAGTGTGGTTACAAAGGTACGAGTCGACCCCTGAGTTTCACAACCTCTATCCATCAACTCTCACACGACCAGGAACTATCCCCTACTGGGAATGGGGCTATGACATCGCAGACCCGTCCGCCTCTCCTATTTTTGACGGCTCCGAGACATCTCTCGGGTCCGATGGCGCGCCCATCTCGCCTCACCCACCGATGCTGCTCCTCCCGCCCGGCCCTTCGAACTCGCTCGTGACAATCCCACCAGGGGCAGGCGGCGGCTGCGTGCACTCGGGGCCCTTCGCCAACATGACCGTCCATCTCGGCCCGCAGCAGCTGCCCGTGCTCGGCAGCACCAACATCACCGGCCAGGCGGACCCCTTCGCCGACAACCCGCGCTGCCTCCGCCGCGACCTGAGCGCCTACTCGGCCACTCGCTGGGCCAGCTTCCGCAACACGACGCGCGTGGTCCTCGACTACGACACCATCGAGCTGTTCCAGGCGTATCTCGGCGGCGACCCGCGCTACATTCTGCAGGAGCTCGGCGTCCACGGCGGCGGCCACTACGCGATCGGGGGCGACCCGGGCTCGGACGTGGCCGTCTCGCCGGGCGATCCGGCGTTCTATCTGCACCACGGCCAGATCGACAGGGTGTACTGGATGTGGCAGATGTTGGACTTTGAGAACCGGCAGGGTGTCTGGGGCACGGGCACGGCGCTGGACGACCCGCCGAGCGCGAACGTGACGGTCGAGGACTACGTCGAGCTGCTGCCCCTGAACGGGCCAATCCAGATCAAGGATTTGATGAATGTCGTTGGAGGCACGCCGTTGTGCTATGTCTATGAATAGAGCTCTTCTACAGCGGGTGGGTTGGGTGAGTTCAGGGGCATTCCTCAAAAAGCTTACCCCCTGAACTGCAAACAGAGACCGTGGTCTTACGTTATGTTCATCTCGAGTTCTTGTGTGCTGAATTGTGAGCCCTTCCGTATCAGTAAAAGCGATTCAATTGTCTGAGACGACTGCCGAGTCAAGAGCTCACATAAAGCCCATCAGATTATGCCGACGCATTTCAAGCCTTTTGTGCTTCCCTAACCTATGGAGTGTATGACAGCGAACAAAAATATTGAAGATATACACGCCCGTAACGCCGCCCATGGCACCGCCTTTCGTGAACTATCTACAGTGGCGAGTATCGTTACAAACTTGAGGAAGGCCGAGTCCTTTCATGCTTTCTTTAGTCTTCCGCCTCGGTGTCGGTATTAGTGTCGCTCGTGTCATCTGCCTCCTCCTCGGTACCGCTCTCCTCATCAGAGTCCTCCTCCTCCTCCTCCTTCCTCCTCTTCGGCTTCGATGGGGGAGGGCCACCCTTTGCCGCGTTCATGATACCGGCTAGTGAGTCTGCACGCGTGTTAGATGAACGGGGTTCTATCGGAATGTGACTTGACAAAATAAACTGACCCTCATCTGGCTCGCTGATCTCGTCCTCGGCAGCCATCTCTGCCGCCTTGCTTGCCTCCTCCACAATCAGAGTCACTTCCATCTTCGTGTCGAAACCAACATAGCTATCACACACCACGTGCATGACGAACGTGTAGTGGCCCGCCTGCGGCGGTGCCGCAAATTGCGCCTTCATGGTCTGCATGTTGAACGTGGGTGTCTTGCCGTCCGCCTCGAAAATGGGCTGGTCGAATTGGGTGAATGTGAAGGGCGGCACGGCCATCTTGCCCTGCTTGGAGTCGGTCAAAAAGACGTTCCACCGCGGGGAGTGGTCACGCGCAAAGTACGGTGCGAATGCGAGGGGCGGGAGAATAGGGGTATCGTCAGCGGCCTCTACGATCGGCTTGCCGTTCGCGTCCTTGCCAGTGGGCTTCTTGGGCTTTCGGCCGAGGATGGCATCAAGATCATCCTCGGCGGGGTCAACATCCTCGAGGTCCAGCTCGTTGATCTCCGGGACCTTTTCGCTGCCCGGAGGCACGAAACGACCCTTGACCACCAGGCTGACAAGAGATGAAGGAATGATGAATCTTTCACCGGTGACCTTGAAGAAGGCCTTGGCGACGCGGAAGTAAGGAAGCTGCTTGGCAACCGAGACGGCAGTCTGGTATTGCTGCTCAGTGAGGAGTCCATTGCCGACGGCAAGGCTGCGACGCTTGGAGTCAGGCTGGTCCATGAATTTTTGTATTGTCATGGGAACCTTGGAGTCGCCCTCCACAGCCTTGGCAATGGCAGGTGTGAAGTATGGGAGCTGGAGGAGAGGAGACGCCTTGGGAGACAGCGCTTGAATGAGTCGCTGGTTGGCGTAGTAGGAGCCCAGAATGGGAGCCGTGTTTCCATATGCCAGAGATATCGCAGTAAATGACTTGGTGAGGGACTGGGCAATGGCGCCAATGTCAAATTTAGCCTTCTCGAGCACGGGGTCATCGAGCTCAATGCGGCCAAGGTACGCCCACAGAAGAGCAAGAGCTTTTCGCCGTACCGAGTTATCGATGTCCTCGAGCTTCTCCTTCTCCTTGATGGGCAAGCCAGCTGCGAAAGGCGTGTTTTCACCGGGTGCCAGTATCCTAGACTCGATCTTAGAAAGTCCTGACTCGGCTTTGTCTCCCCTGAGAACCTCTTCATATTCCTTGCCGGTGCTGAGGGCGGTGATGATGCCACTCTCGTCAATATTTTCGTCATACTCGCGGAACAGGTTGTTGGCGCTCTCCATCAAGATCCCCTCCTTGGACCTCCGCTGCCAATCGTACCACCATGAACCGACAAGATAGGGGAGGAGCACGCCAAAGAGCAGGAAGTACACCAGGATAACGTATTTGCCGTTGCCGTCGGACACGATGATCTTGGGAAGCGCAATGCCGATGCTGAAGCCCTGCTTGCCATCGGGGTGGCCGTACTGGATGTAGTTGTTGCGGATGTCCTCGTCCGTTAGAGCCTGGTACGCCTTGGAGATCTCGACGTATCTCGCCGTTAGGTCCTCCATGGTCTCGTTCTTAGAGGCGTCTGGCTTGGCCTTGTCGGGGTGTAGCCTGAGCGACAGGAGCTTGTACGTCTTCTTGATAACCTTCTCGCTTGCAGACTGCAGGTACCGGGTCAGTATGGCGAGCAAACGAGGTGAGATAAAGAACCCCCGAGGGAGGTGCAAGTAGCACAGATACTTACCTCTGAGATGCCCAAGATATCATACGGGTTCCAGATCTTCTGCGTCTGCACCTCGGTGTAATGGATCAGATACAGCATGTACGCCATGACCGCCCAGCCGCCGATGACGAAGAGGGTGAGGCCGAGCTTGCGGTGCTTGCGCTTGTCGGCGGAGCGCTGGGCGTCAACGAGGTCGCCATGCTTGGGCTTGTAGTCGGTCTTGATGCGCGGGAACTGGGCGGCCGGGTCGCGCGACCGGTTGAAGAGGATGTATGTGAGCGGGAGGGTGATGATGGTGGAGATCGTGAAGGCGAAGAAGGGCCACAGCTGGCCGTTCTCGTCGTAGGTGTACTCGGAGCTCATCTCGGCGGCGGCGAGCGGCTACCTACTGCGACCTGGGAGAAAGAGAACTTAGGACAAAGGAGCTCTGGAGGTAGCCTTTTCTAGGGACTAATACATTAATAGAAGAAGAGCCCGTTCGCTAGAAGAGAAGGGGAAAAAGAGAACAGAACAGCAGGGCGAAGAGTTGCTCCTGTAACTGTCTCTGTCTGTCAGTTCGTGCAGGTGTCGCTGCTTGGGAAGCTTCTGGGTTGTGGCGGCGGCCCTTGTTCATCCACACAAAAAGGACAGACAGTTCAGGTCCGGTTCTTGAATCGTGGCCTCGAAATTTTGGACAGGGGGCGGTGCCACACTGCCAGCAACGGTACTTCATTCTTAGGGCGGTGACTTGGCCTCCGAAAGGCTATTAGAGTACAGTGCACATCTTTGGCTGCTCGCACATGGCTTCCCGACAGACAGCCCACAGCTTGCCATGTGCGAGGAACTGGCCCCGCTGGGCTGAGCCATGTCAACGGTAACTGGACCGTGCTCCGTAGGGAATAGACTCAGAGCCACAGGCTGTAACTTCCAGTCTCACTGCTGCCCCGCGTTCACCAAGAATAGCATTAAGCTCAGGCTAAGACATGGACAGGTGAGAACATAATTCTACTTCAAAGTTGTTTCAAGATATCGACTCTGTTCAATTACAGACCTTCGTTGTTTTAACAAGAATGCCAATCAGGATACCTGAGTATTAGTCTCCTTATAAAATTTATAAAGACAGTGTATTCAATACAGTTAGCAGTCAGTAACATCCACAGTAGAAGATTGAGAATCGAGATTAGACAACAGGCCATACACCAGTCTATAAGTTGTTTGTGAATACAATAAACGTTTGAACCAGGTCATCAGATGCAAGTAATTAGAAAAGAGACCCCTTCTGTCCAACGCCGGCGAGAGATGTGGCTGCTTTGTCTAAAGACGTCTAATCCCAAACTCTTGCACCAGCCAGGGCAAACAAAACAACATGATGACATGAACCCCCTGAAGATGCTGCGATGCCGTTGAACCCCCCGTGCCCACACACCGCTCTCTTGCTCTCTCTCTCTCTCTCTCTCTCTCTCTCCGTCTTCCCCCAAAGTCAGCCCAACCTGGCGCGTACAGACCTTACAACTACAATGCAAATATATACGCCGAAAGTGGCAAAGGCCAAACAACCGAGCAGGTAGGGGGGAAGGAGAACAACCGCGCAGAGGACCCCGAACCCGATTTGCCGGAGCTTCGCCAGCTTCTTCTCCCAGCCAGCATCCGCCTCGGCCCGCCAGGACGCCTTGATATCGTCCGCAGCGAACCGCCTTGACTTCCCATGGCGATGGTGGTGGTCATACTGCCGCTCCTCTTCCGGGCTAGACTCGCACTCCGTACTCTCATATTCGCTTTCGTTTCCTTCCTCCGCGGGTTGTCAAGTGTAGTGGAAGCCACCTGGGAATCCGCGAGGTCGGCTGCCGCCGCCCTGGTTTGTGAACTGGAAGCTCCCGCCACCAGGGAATCCACCACCGAAGCCGCCGCCGCCACCTCCTCCACCGCCTCCCATGCCTCCCATCATGCTGAAGAGGATCTCTGGGTCGATTCCACCAGCCATTCCGCCACCGCCGCCGAACATATCGGACGGGTCCATCAGATCATCTCCGCTATCATAACGAGCTCGTTTCCTGCGATTCAAGTTAGCACATAGTTTCAGTCGATATGTAATAGAGAGGAGCTTCGTACTGAGGGTCGCTCAAGGTCTCATAGGCTTCGCTGATGTCCTTGAACCGCGCCTCTGCCTGCTCGTCACCAGGGTTCTTGTCGGGATGGTGAACAATGGCCAGCTTGCGGTACGCCTTCTTGATAGTGGCATCGTCGGCGTCCTTGGCTACCGCGAGGATCTTGTAGTAATCCTTGCGCTGACTCTTCTTCAGCTCCAGCTCCGCCCTCTTCACCTCCTTCTGGATTGTCCTGTCCTCAGGGTCCAGTTCTGCGATAGACTTCCATTCGCGAACTGCATCCTCCCACCGCTCGGCGGCGCCAAGAGCATTGGCCTTGGTCTTCCGAGCCTTGGTATAGCTGGGGTCAAGCGATATAGCCTTCTCGCAGTCGCGAATTGCTTCGTCGTACTGCTTGAGCTTTGTCAGACACAGAGCTCTGTTTTGAAGCAGCTTCGAGTTGGTGCCTCGGTTGGACGGGTCAATCTCCAACGCCTGCGAGTACTTGTCGATGGCAGCCTGCCACCGACCGGCCTTGTATTCGCTGTTGCCTTCTTCCTTCATGCGGTCGAGCTTCTGCACAATCCGCAGCCACTTGATGGCGTCCCTGAAGTCAGGATCACAGCTCAGAGCCTTGCGGAAATGCTGCACCGCCTTGTCATTTTCTCCCTGAGCGTACAATGCACGACCCCGTAGCACTAGGGCCTCGGGGTCCTGGCTGTTGTTCCGCAGGATGGCCATGGCAACATTCTGAGCTTCGCCCAGAGAATTGACATTGCCCATCTTCAGGTGAGCCTCGCCTCGCATCAGCTGCCACTTGCGCGGCTTGCGAGCGCCAACGCCCAAGAGCCTCTCCGCCATATCAAGTGCGTGCAGCACCATTGACCCAGTGCCATCCTGGAGACTGCGCTGGGCTGATTGAATGTGCTGCTGCATCTCCCGAGCCTGGGCCATATCCTTAGCTGACGGAGGTGGGCGGATGCGCTCGAAGGTAATCATGGCCTCCTCAGGCTGGCCCAGACTCGTGTAGATACGCGCGAGACGTAGCAGTATCTTGGAGTTCTGGGGATCAAGATCCGCAGCACGCCGACAGTCCTCTAGGGCAGCCTCGTACTTCGCTGCAGACATGTATGCCGCAGCCCGATTGCTCAGGTAAGTGGCCGAGTTTGGCTGGAGCTCGACGGCTAGGAAGAACAAAGGATTAGAGTGCGCATTCATCCGAGGAAAGTCAGAGAGGTGGTACCTTTTGTGTATTCCTCAATAGCACGTGCATAGTTCTTTTCTTTGAAGAACTTGTTGCCCAAGTTCTTGAAAGACTCGGCCTCTTCCGCCGGTGACGGCTTCGGGCTACTTGGCTGGGACTTGTGAGGCGGAGGAACGGGAATGTCACCCTGGGGAGGAGGGCTCGTCGTCCCTCCATTCGTGATGGGCACCGTGAAGGAGGCGGCCTGCTGCAGAGGAGGCTGCTGCTGCTGCTGTTGGGGAGGAGACGACGGAGGGTCGATATCCATCGAGTTTCGTCCGCTCATGGCTGTCAATTGTGAGAGCCGCTTTCGCTGCTCTGGCGGCAGATTGAGAGGATGTGTGTCGGGGTCGATTTTCTTTCGTCGCGACGAGGAGGAGGATCCGGGGTCAGTGGACTGTCTCTGGAAGGCTCTAGAGGTTCGCAGCTTGGGGCTGGCCTCGGCGCTGCCTGCTGCACCTGCTGCACCTGCACCGCCTGCACTACTTGCACCTGGCGGGACGCCTGGGGATGCGGGACGGGCGAATTTTTTAGTGGGGGATTTGTTTGGTGATCGAGAGGCAGGCGAGGGCTTGACAGGGGACGACTTGACGGGGGAGGGAGGCTCGGAGGGATTGGACGAGAAGAAGTCGTCGTCTTCCAAGTCGGGGTCGTCCGGACTGTGGTTGTGGTGGTGTTTTTTGGACGTCTTTTTGGAGAAAAACTTCATTGAGTCGAAAGGCCCGGAGCGGGTGCGGAAAAGCAGGCCGTCTGGAATGGCGTTCGTTTCTTTGTCTAGCAGTCCACGGGGGGTGCTAAGGCTTACGCCCCTCAGTGCTAATGATTAGTGACCCTCGGTCTACCACCACACTCGTCCCGTTAGTACGCAGGCAGGGCAGTGTCCGGCGACTCTGACAGCAAATATCTCCGATCGCGTGCCGATATTGGGGGTTATCCTGTAATCGAGGCACCCAACTCGGTAGCCCTCCTTTTTCCCCTTAGCTAAAAGGTAAGGTCAGGCTCAGCACCAGAGCTCCGGTAGTATAGCCCAAGACAACCTTTCGAGGCAAGACAAGGCTAGAAGCAGAAGTACCTAGGTAGGTAGGAGAGTCGAGCCTTGCTTTGCCGCTGCTGCATCCAGGTGCAAAATAACCTATGCAATGCACAGTATAGCAGCGCAGAAAGAACAGGCAGGAGCCGAGCTTGCCCAGCGCTGCCTGCTGCTCAGCTCAGAGGTGAACCTCTCGCCGTCTCAGGCGTAATGTTTTCTCGACGAAATCGTTCCAAGATGAGGCGACGAGGTAGGTAGGCAGTCGGTAGGCAAAGGATGGTAATAGCTGGAGCGAGCAGCGATAGCAAGGAGTGCCCGGGTTCCAAGGTCCCAGTTCCAAGCTGTTGGAGTCTGGAGAGAGCGATAAGGTGCCGCACGCTGGGTCTGTGAGAGGAGGCACACAGGACCAGGCCGCCGCATGCAACACAAGCTTACTGCTTGCCTGCCCGATTGCTATGCCGGTCTTGTTTTTTGGTGTTTCGGGCGGGAAGCAAGCAACACGCAGCCTTAATTTTTTTTTTCTTAGGAGGGGAAGTTTTTCGCGATATGGCTCGAGGTGACGAAGAGACAATAGGATAGGATAGGACAGGACAGGCACAGGCAGACCAAAGCAAAGCAAATCAAAGCACAGGTCACACACCCCGACCCCGTTTGACAGATTGGACAATGTAAAAGTTGTTAACAGCTAACGTTAGTCTAGGGGTTTACAGGATTTATCAGCTTTCCAGGTTGCTGCTGGGGACCAGGCTGGTCTTGACACCTGTGCACATTGCATACATTCGCTCGCAAATCGGAGAGCAAGACCACCTGCTGGCCCTTTCCCACTGGCTACCTGGCCACCTGGCCCTAACTACTGTACCTGCTGTCCTGCGTACCGTACATAGTATGTATGTGCATGCGTGCATGCGTGCTGGCTGCTGGGCTACGAGACTAACTACGTGATAGACTGATAGACGATGCAGCGGAATCAATAATAAGAGGGCAGGCCTTTGGGGGGGGTCGAAAATTGGTCCCAAGAAAACCCATGCCCAGTGTTCACGCCCGTTAGGCTCTTCTTTTCCCGTTCGCGTAAAGATGCGATCTGGCAAGTAGCCAGTACATCCCACTGCAATGCAAATGCACCTCGATGCACCCGCCACCCGCTCGCTGCTGCAGGTCGCCGCTACCTCGACCTCTCCCCACCGTCCAACGTCCAATCCTCGCCATGGGCACCCGTCACAGCCAATTGACTGGAGGAGAGATGTGCGTTGTTTACTCTGGCTGTGCAGGGCAACTCGGCCAGTGCTGTGCTCGTACCTAGCAGCTACAGCTACAGCTACAGGTGTTCAACCTCTTTTGTTTTCCTGGGAACCGCCCAGTCGCCACCGTGTCAACGAACGAGCGAACGAACAAAACTCGAGGGAAAACGAGCAGAGAATGACAGAGGGCATCAAATCTCGGATAGGCTCCCTGGCCTCCCGTTGGCTTTAGCGGACGGGGAACGGGTAGGCAAGCGGCAATGCAGGCCCCCCCCCAGCCTGCCAACCCTCCCGAGCCTCCCATCCCAGGCCTCTGTTAATTTCAGGGTACGACCCAATCGTCCCCCGGAGAGCAACCGCCAGCCAAACCCCGTTCAGCCGTTAGAGAATGGATCTATCGAGGTTATTCCCCTAAGCAGATGCGCTCCGTCCCTAGTGCGCGACCGATTCTCGAAGCTTCTGTGGAGCTCATGTTCGACGGCGCCCCGCGAGGCTCTGCTGCTAATAACACCTGAATAGCACAACGGGAAATTGTCTACTACGCAGGCCTCCGGGCTTCGGTGCATAGCTCCCAGCCTCCCTTAGACAAGCCTGCCTGGCTGGCTGCGTATCTTGTAGAACTCGAAAGAGCTGGCCGACCTGCTGGGTGCGATGATCGCTTGTTTGAGATTGAGGTCTATCCTTGCCTCTGGACCCAGTTTCCTTCTTGCATCCAATTTCAAGAAGCGCCGGTCTCTCTTCAGAAGAGCACAATGACGCAATGCTACAAATAAGTGCACAGGGGTGGTGACCTCTGCTGGAAGCGAATTTCCTCTATTGTGTACTCGCTATACTGTGGATTTCTGCAGCGACCCGAATGTCCCGTGAGAGCCAACGCCGAATTCAAACAAAACCCCCTTTGTCATTATATAGACTTACACACGAGTCGTGCCCTTACCTACTATGCAGTAAGGATGCATTCTGTAGACATGCAACGCCAGAGTACCATAAGTAGCCCCATCACCCAATCCAGCATCATGCATCGTCAGAACGCTCTGCCGACGCTGCATCCGAGCCACCATTCGTCCCATTGATCGAGCTCACAAAGTCCTGGTACTTGAAGACCTCGCCCCTCTTCCCCAGGCCCCCCTGCTTGCTCTTGCTGAACGCCCGCCGGCCGGTGAAGCCGCCCATGACCTTGTCGACCTCCATGGCCGTCAGCGGCCGCTCCCCGGGCTCGGGCGCCGTGTTCAGCAGCGCGTCCCGCAGCTCGGCCAGGTCCACCTGCCCGCTATCGTCGTCGTCGAAGGCCGACAGCGCGGACAGCAGCTCGGAGCTCGGCGACAGCGACGCCAGGGTCGTGGCTATCGAGTTGAGGAAGGCGGCGAGCGTGACGGTCTGCGGGGCGGAGGGCGGGAAGAACTGGGAGACGTCGGCAGGGCTGGAGGGCAGGCCTGTAGCAGTGTCGTGTTAGTTCCTAGCACTAGCAGCCCGTGATAGTTCTTTTTGCAGGCGGGGACTCCCTTACCAAGCTGATTCAGCATGTCGGCGACATCTTCTCTATTCACGACGCCGTCGCTGTCCCTGTCGAGTATCTGAAACCCATCTCGTAGAGTCCTGACTTGAGTGGGCTGCAATTGAGACAGCGCGTTGCCGTTGCTCATGGCTGTCGATGTGGGAGCAGGTGCCATCCTCTGAGCACGCGGGGATGTAAATACGTCTCGGTCAGAACTGTGTCCTCTGGGAGTGTATGCGTCTGCCGAGCTAATTGGCGTACTTGTCGTGTTCGTGAATCGAGAAGCACCAGGTGCTAGACCTGGTTTCGTAGGAGATGTTGTTGGTGTCTGTCGTAGTGCGGTGGGCGAGGATGGCGATTCGGGGCGGCGAAAGGGAGAGCTGCGCTGGGAGCCGTATCCCAGAGGAGATGGCTTGTATCCAGCCGATGTAGCCTGCCGTGCTTTGAGTAAGGAGAAGGTGCCATAGGGAATGGAATGTGGAAGTCGCAGAGGGCTGCACGTACCATGATGTCGCTGTTTCTCTCTGAGTATCCAAACCAACTGGAGATTGTTTATGCTATGAGTATGCAGTGACCAGACCAAAGAGTCAAGTTCCAATATGTTATGATGGTTCCAAGAGGCAATTGTGTTAATTGTCGGATATCTAGGTATTCGTCTGTACCAGACGCGATGCTTCCTTGGGTGATGGATGGACGAGTGACGATAAGATAACACACATGACAGTAAACAAGCTAACCTGGCAACCACAGCCTCACTTTGCAGCCGCCCCCCAAAAAAAAAAAAAAAAAAAGCACAGGCCAAGCACTGTGGCGGGAGGTAGGCTCCAGGGCTGCAGAGGTGTGGCTAGCTGCTGGGCAGGCAGCCAGATGCCAATTGGCCATGTTTCGGAGGCCAGCAGGGTCCCCGTTTAGTGGCGTTTTCCCACGAGTTTCGGAAGCACAATCAAGACCCTCCTACAGTGACCCCGAGACCCCCTTTAGGTGAGGTTCCCAGAGGTTCCAAAGCAGGGATGAGACGGCGAACTGGCTGCATTGCGGGCGAGCAGGCACTTCACTTCACACTTCTCACTTCACCTCAGCAGGGCGCTAAGCAAATTTGACAGCACTGCACCTGAGCCAGGCCCTACTGCATAGTACCTAAATCAAGGGGTAATTGCCGTCCTGGTAGCTCATTAGGGCAAACGAGCGAATCGCAGTTCTGAAGAGCTCCCCCCTCACTTCCCATCGCATCCCATCCTAAAAATCTCCATTATTTGCCCTGTTTCGGGGCTGCCCCTGTTCCTGTTCCCGTTCCAATTGTCGATTCAGGAGGCCAGCACTGAGCCCAGCACTGTGGGCAGTGGGCAGTGAGAAGTGAGAAGTGAGAAGGGAGCACGGAACCTCACAGCTCCATCGACAAGGCTACCCAAAGTCGAAGCAGATCATGTCTCGGCCCGCCAACTTCCCACGCATTGACTTCTTCAGCCTGTAAGAGTGGCCCGAATATACTCGATCATTGGCATTCAGCGCATCTTCTGCATCTCGTCAATCCCTTCTTGTCTGTCGATTTCGTCTTCGTGGAGAGCGTTGAAGCTGCGTGGTCGTCTTGTTCGAACTGCACCTCCCCCACCGCTCATTCGGGCTGTCGAATCGTGCCCCCCCTGCTGCCCGGTGCTGCACCCCCTTTTAAATAGAGTTGTTTCCAGTTGAAGAGCAGCCAGGGGACGTGTTTGAATGGATCTTGAAACGGCTGACCCATGACGCTTACGATCCAAGCGTTTCCTGACCTTGGCCTGTCCTGACCCTCTGCAGAGTCCAAGACCCTGCTTTCTGCTGCTGTTGTCGCACAATATCGCGATAGCATCAATCTTAAGATCTACGGGGCCCTGACCGACACACCGGCCTCGCAATATATGCGCACGACCGCCCAGCACGCCCCGACCCTGCGCCCTCCGGCGAATCAACAATGGCAGCTGCCCAGACCGCACTGCCATACCTCTCCAAGACGATCAGCAGCGGGAACGGGAACGGCGTAGCCTCGTACAACAACAACAATACACGGAGGACCTCGCTGTCGTCTCTGCCCCCGTCGTCGCGCTCCGGCTCGCAAATGTCCCATCGCCCAGCACGCTCGCCGCAGCCGCCCATGGGAATCATGTCCGAAACAGACCGCACGTCGAACCCGAGCTCCAAGTCCAAGACCCCGTCCACGGGGACGGGCGTTTCCTCGTCGCAGCACTCGTCCCTCTCGGCGGGCGCGCCCCGCCCCTATAACCCCAGCGCGCATCCGGCGCGGAGGCTGCGCTCGCAGTACCCTCGCGGGGACTCCGAGAACCATGTCGAGTACATCCTGGTGGCGTCGTTTGACATTGACCGCGGCCCCGTGATGGAGCATCAGTATCCGGTGGCCATAACGGGAGACGAGCACATGCTGGCTGAGCTGATGTTGCCGGATCAGGCGCATGTACGGAACCAGGACTGGACCATGTTCTTCTTGCACAAGGATACAAGCCAGGAAGAGGAAGATGAGGAACGCAAAGCAAAAGAGAACCGGCGCAAACGAAGACAAAGAAAAAGAAATAAGATGGCGGGGATCCCCAAGAAGGACGAGGAGGAGGAGGAAGACGAGGAAGACGATGATGATGACGAGGACCTTGACGACGACGACGATGATTGGGATGACGATGTTTCGAGCGACAGCGAACCCGAAGGCGGCGAAGGGCCGCCCCTGATTTACGTATTGAATCTGGTGAACACCAAGCAAGACAAAACAGTGAAGCGAGGTGCAGTGGTCAAAGCCATGGCCATCTGCACACGACATCCTTTCTTACATATCTACAAAGTATGTGCTCTGGTCAGTTTCTCTTAGAATTGACACTAACATCTACCAGCCCCTTCTTCTACTCGCTTTGGAGGAATACTTCAAATCTCCAGTGCCAGAGACTCTAGCGCTCCTATATGACGCCGTGAATAATATGGATTTGTCTCTTATGCCCAAATTAAGCTTGTTGGAGAGACACTTATTACAAGCAAGTGAGAACAAAGATCTGTTCGTGGAGAAATTCGAACAGATGATCCAGATGAGGATAGCAGAGGACCGGGGAGAAAATGTTACAGACCAGCCCTTTGATGCAAGTCGGGATCCGCCAAAACCTCTAGGAATAGCCCGAGCCGGGACAAAAGCCCATTTCGAAGGGCAGGCAGCATATTCTGTTCCCAGAGACACGCACGAATTCGAGAGCAAGGTCATGTACAAGGGCATCCCGATACCTATCAAGGTGCCCGTGGCAGTCATGCCAGAGACTGTGGGCGACTTCTCCCTGATCAAGCTGATTCAGAACTTCTCCGACACCCATGCCAAATCCCCTCAACCGTTTGCCTTACACCCGCACCTTACAACCAATGGTGCAAACACCCATCCAATTATCATCTTGGTCAATGCCCTTCTCACACAGAAGAGAATCATCTTCCTCGGCCACAATATGCCATCCGGAGAGGTGGCAGAAGCGGTCCTAGCAGCGTGTGCCCTCGCCTCTGGCGGAGTTCTGAGGGGCTTTACACGACACGCATTCCCCTACACGGACTTGACCAAAATCGATGATCTGTTGAACGTGCCGGGCTTCATTGCCGGCGTCACAAATCCAACCTTTGAGCTCCACCCTGAATGGTGGGATCTCCTATGTGATCTACCCAGTGGAAAGATGAAAATCAGCAGCAAGATCGAACCTGCCGCCATCACTGAGGGCCTGGTGTATTTCCAACAGCAAAACCCAGCGTACGCCGGCCTTGTGGCTGGCTCCTCCTCGAATAATTCTTCAGGAAGCGATCTCACCGGAGATGCCGCTTTCATGAATGATATACTGAAGAGCGTGGCCGCCAGACATGGCGAGCGAGTCATCCGCGCGAAATGGCGCGACTGGGTGCTGAAGTTCACCAGGATAGCCGCCGCGTTCGAGGAGAGTGTGTACGGGGCCAGCGCTCTATACATTGGTGGAGATGATTTTGACACCGGCTCGGCGGTCGTCAATGGACATGGGTACGTGTGGCCGGATGATGCATCAAAACAAAAAGAGCTGGCTGGAAATGTGACGAGGATCGAGGGCTGGAGGAACACGAGGAGCTACTACAGCTTCATACAGGTACGGAAACATTACCGCTACTATTCCCCTAATCTAGCGCCTGCTGACACTATGTACAGGACCTAGCCCAGTTGTATACCGTCAGGCCCCTGAAAGGACTAGATCTACACCACATGCATGACCGCCTAAGGACGCAGAGGTTAACACCCGCTCAGAGCAAGGAGATTTATCTAGCGTTTTCAAAATACGTCTACTCTTACGATGAGATATGTCTGCTCTTGACCGTGGCACCCGAGTCGCATGCTGGGTTGTTTTATCTTGCGTTGGGGCTGTTCCACAAGGACAGGGTGGTCCGGATCAGGACAGCCGAGTTGCTAGAACGGATCGCAGAGCACGAGGCCGGCCAGCACTGGTGGAACTCGCTGAGCCGCTTCGAGAAACTCGCCTACATCCGCATCAAGCGCGAGGCCGAGGTGGAGATGAAGGAGAGGCTGGAGAAGGAGGGGTTCAGCCCGGATGTCGAAAAGAGGGTTAGCTGATGGGATGAGATGGGATGGGATGGGATGGGACGACACGGGACGGCGGGTTGGGGTCATCACGGCGCTTCTTTATCAAACCCCCAATTTCTCAGCACTTCCATCATAGTAACGGCGTTCAAAGACATGGCTCATGTGCTTACGACATTATGAAGAGGAGGAGGACCGGATGCTTTTGGACTTTTTGCTTGATTTTGCTTGCTGCATGGATGTATATCTTGAGCTCTCTGGGCCCCCCTTGTCCATAATGCTATTTTGCATCGCGCATATACATAAGACATGCTCATTGATCATACAATCACTTTTCTTGACTCCCAACCCAAACTTTGCCCACAACTTCAGGTCCTCGCAATTCTGGCGAACCAGCCCACCAACATCCAATCAAGCAGCCAGATACTTGGCCGCGTGGGCGACGTGCTCATCGCTGAAGCTCGCCATGAAGAAGTACGAGTGGTCGTAGTCCTCGTGCATGCGCAGCGTCAGGCCCTCGAGGCCGGCCGCCTCGACGGCGGCGGCCAGGTTCTCGGGCAGCAGCTGGCCCTGCTTGTAGAAGGCGTCGCCGGTGCCGACGTCGACGAGCATGTTGAGCGGGCCGCCCGCCCAGCGGCCCACGAGCTCCGTCGCGTCGTGCGCCTTCCACGCCTCGCGGTCGTCCGCGCCCAGGTACCCCGAAAAGGCCTTCTCGCCCCACGGGCACCGGCTCGGGTTGGCGATGGGCGCGAACGCCGACACGGAGCGGTACTTGCCCGGGTGCTTGAGGTACAGCGTCAGGGCGCCGTGGCCGCCCATGCTGTGGCCGGAGAGGGAGACGCGCGCGGCGTCGAGCGCGGCGAACTCCTTGAACAGCAGGTCGGGCAGCTCTCGAGTCAGGTACGTCTCCATGCGGTAGCTGTCGCGCCAGGGGGCGGCGGTGGCGTCGATGTAGAAGCTGGCGGCCTCGCCAAAGTCCCAGCTGTCCTTGGCGCCCGGGATGTCGAGCCCGCGGGGCGACGTGTCCGGGTAGACGACGGCGAGGCCGTGGCGGGCGGCGCCGTGCTGGAAGAAGCCCTTCTCGGTGCAGTTGTCGGGCGTGCAGGTCAGGCCGGACAGCCAGAAGAGCACGGGGACCTTGGCGCCGGGCTTGAGGGCCGCGGGCGGGAGGTACAGGTTCACGGCCATGGGGGTGCCGGTCGTGGAGGACTGGTGCGACAGCTTGAGCAGCTTGCCGCCGAAGGAGGCGATGGTCGCCTTGGTCTCGAAGGCCATTGTGTGGGCGGCGGTGATGGTTCTTCCGTGATGGGGTTGTTTGATAGAGGAGGAGCAGAGGAAGATGGATTTGGGTCTACGATGGAGGACACTTGATGTAAAGAGACTGAGGCGAGTAGACAAACAACTTGTTCTCATTGACCTTGCCAACTTAAGGTTGGTAGTTAAGGCAAGAGAAAGTAAATGAGGTATCTAATGTAAGAACTCCGGTCCGGATGAGATCCCGAATAAACTCCATGATGCCATGCCATGCACCTAGCCTAGTGTAATGTAGTGTAAAGCTCCCCCTCCAGCTCCAAGGCGATAAGTCTAGCTCCCGAAGCCCAGCCCGGGCTAAGATATATAGGAGGACTTCACTAAGGGGTGAGGAGAGGATAACTGAAAGGGGCAAAAGGAACCCCTCAATTGCTCCTGGCTTTTCATTACCCCACCATCAAAATGCATCATTATTTCGTTGCCAGGTGTCGGCCACCCAGAACCCCACCTTTACACTGCCGGCAGACACTGCGTCATACCTAGGTAATAAGCCCGGTAGGTAGGGCAGGCCCTGCTTGGCTGGTGAAAAGGGGCAGTTGCTAGGGGCTGGTGGCCGCTGTAAGTGAGATGGCTCGCTCCAGCCTCTGGACTCTGATGCAAGGTAGAAAGCAAAACTCCAAATACTCCAACTCTCGATGCAAAGTCGTCGTGTCCCATGCGGATTAATGATTAAGCGATTCATAGAAACAGTGCTCCCCGGTAGGTAGTATTATTTAAAAGTCAACACCAATACCGGTAACCGAGCAGCCAGCCAGCCAGCCAGCCAGACTTGCCGGCTAGTAAAAACCGCTGGGGGTTGGGCCCTGGTGGCAGGTGACGCTCGAGAGGTAGTGGTCCCAGCCGGTAACGCTCATGTTGAACTTGTTCTTGTATGTGAAGTCGACGGGGCCCATGGTGCATCCTGTCGGCGACGTGCAGAGGCCGCCGCAGGGCATGATGTACGGGTAGCAGAAGAACTCCTCGCCGTCCGGCGCAAACGTCGCCGCGTTCTGGTAGAAGGGTGCAGTCACGTTGACGCACGTCTCCAGCGGGTAGACGACATGCTCGCATGTGCCTGTGGCGTTGGCTCCAGTGCACAGGAGGACCTGTATGTATTGATTTAGGTTAGCAACCGGAACTGGGTATACGATATAATAATGTCCATGTTCATTTGAAGATGATCGGAGGCAGGATGCGGGATGATCGGGTAAGATGGCTGTATGCGTGCTTGCTTGATTGACAGGACAGAAAAGAGTTGACTTACACCGCCCAGCTCCCGCTTGGAGATCGGCTTTGCAGCTGCAAGGCTCGCCGAGGTGATGGCTGTGAGAACTGTGCTGAACTTCATTTTGGATGGACTGGAATGTGTATGACGGAGGATAAATTGGCGATTGTCTGGAATGTTGCGACTCTTTCTCTCTGTCTCTGTGCTGTGCGTGCAGTGCTTCTATACCATCCGTGTAAATGCGAGGTTGGGGGAAACAGCCCCAGCTATATACAAAACCCAACCTCGTGTCTGTATGTCTTGCGATCCGAGAGTCCCTAATAACTGACCGCGCCGCATACATACGCAAAAGCAAAAAAGGCACAATCACTCCAACCGAGTGCAGACATAAACGGCGCTACTGTCGCCTTGGAGGATCATCGTATTTACTCGAGTGCTGTTATTTTGCAGATCGTCATCCCGACCCATACGCTGCGCACAAGCTTCGCGGAATCCTTCGAATAGAAGCCCTCGCCCACAGCGTGACAGCTCCCCTAGCGAGCGGGGCCTGAATTCCAGCGCAGGGAGCAGCATTGCAAATTCAACAGTGAACCCAGGCTCCAGGCCCCTGTGGACAGACGCCGAAGGGAGCCGTTTCCGGGCAAATGACATAAGGGGTCCTCGATCAGACGGCCCCAAGTCCCTTGTATCAAGAGGCCAGACGTCATGCCCGTACGGCCTTGTATCGTACTGCGCACGCTAGGGGAGGCCAGCTGATTTCCCCAGACCTGCCCTGGATGCCCTGGACGTCCTGAAGTTGCATGTTAATTGGGCTCTGCCCCGGGACACTCTACGGCGTAAGAGACTCCTAGACTGGCTACATAGTAGAGCCTGTCCTTTGCTGAGTTCTGGCTGGACGGAAAGGTGCAGCAGACCAGCCAATACGAGGAGATCGGCAGTCGCTGTGCCCTATTTCTGGACGCGGTCCAGTGCCAGGCTCGCCAGGGTCCTAACAAGGTTGACTGACATTCAAGGTTGGGGTTCCGGTAGTGAAGTTAAGTTAGCTAACTTGGGGGGACCCTGACGTCGTCAATAGGGGGCCAGCTAAGGCGCTAGGGCAGTTCACAAAGGGGGCTTTAAAAAGAAAGACAACTCAGTAGGGACTATGTGCGGCTTGGCACCACGTCAGGGACCACCGGCGTCGTGCCGAAACATGCGGGAAGTCGCCTCCACATGGCCAGATTCGGTGCTTCTTCGAGGAATGAATTACGATATCCAAGGTTACAGACATGGCCGTCTTGTTGGGCGCTGATTACGGATTGGATCAGAGTAGAGGCATTATCCCGTCCCAGCGTCACCGTCTCTCGGATCACTTGCCGACACACTGACGAAGTCGGAAAATGACACGCATACGATCCCTCTAGATCACATACACCAAAGTGTGAGTGATTACTACGAAGTCCCTCGTGTGACACTGCCATGTTAGTACGGGATAATGCTTATGCAAATACCAGGAGGCCAGGTACTTCTGGTAGCCAACGCTGTAATCACCACCTGGGTGTTGGACTTCTGTTATATTAGTTGAAAGACATCACAGCCTGACCCACGCTGTTAACAGAGTTGTCCTTCAAGGTCTCTCTTCTCTCATCCCACTACTATTCGACATAGACCTTTCTATCCGAAATGCATGCCTTCTGAGCACGTTTCACAATACAACAACAGCAAGCATATCATCTACACATAATGAGCCTGGACTTGGACGGCAAAAATATTCGATGCTTGGAACTATGTACACGAACTGAAAGGATGCACCATTCCCTAGGCAAATTATAGACACTATGAAAGGCAACGTTAGCAACGACTTCAGCAATAGCCTGATATACACAAGCAGAGGGACAAAACGAGGGATCGAATGAAACTGACCTGAGAGTAATAAGCGTTCTGGTACTGGCACGTGTACGGCGCCTTGCACTGGAAGCTCCCGTTGTACGTGATGCCGCCGCACTGCGCGTACTGTGCCAGCGCCGTCGACGGCGTGAGTGCGAGGATCTTCTCCGACGCCTTCTCCGCCGCGATGACAATGTACGCTGAGGGATTGGTGGTGACATGGCCGGGGAAGATGCTCGCATCGACAACAAACAGGTTATCCGTTCCGTAGACCTTCGTGTTGGTGTCTACAACTGCTGACCCTCCGTTACGCCCGTCGTCAGTACCCATCTTGTTGGTACCTGCGATATGTTAGCTTAGCAACACTTCTCAGTCTCTGTGAATTAACATACCGATCCAGTGGTTACTTCTCCGGTTAGAGTATGAGACGACCATGTTATTCACGTAGTCAGCCGCACTGGTCGTGGAGTTCGGGAACCGCCAGATGAGGCCCGACACGCCCTTGAGCGCATTCTGCAAGTTGACAATGCCCTGGATGACAGCCGCCACATCGTTCTTGTCCCGAAGATAGGGGAGAGTCGAGACGACGGTGTTCAGCCCCTGAGTAATGGTCATGCGGCCGCGAGAGACGGCACCGCGGCCGAGGTACTGGCTCATCGTCATAGTGTGGCCATTCTCTGCTCCCAGACTGCCCTCCACGCGGGCAGTCCACTGCAGCTGCCTGGTGATGCCGTCGGCGCCCTTGATCTCGTCCCAGAACATGGGGCCGATGTTGGGCGCGGCTTGTGTGAGGATACCGATGCGCTTGTTCAGGTAATTGCTCTCATCTGTGGCGTTCGGATTGTCCCACGCCTCATAGAAATCGTAAAAGACGACATTTGGATGCTCTATCACAGTATCGGTATTGGTGTGGTCTTCCAGATTATACCCCACAGGCAGGTTAATCCAGGACTGATTCCCGATCATCGTTGGGCCATCAGTGGAGGACTGGACAATCTGTAGCTGGTCAGTCGGCCCAATGCCACTCCTCATCAGGAGCTTCGCGCTTCCGAATGTGCCAGCAGACAGGATGACACGACCGCTTATGCTCGTAACGTTGACAACGCCGGCGTAGCCGCCATCCTGGAAAGCCTCGACCTCGACGCCGGTGATGTGGCCACCGTTTCTGATGACTCTCTTGACAGATGTGTTCATCCACAGCTTGAAGTTCTTTCTCGCGCTCGCCGTGACCAAGTACGTCGCCATTGGACCACCACGCTCGCCGTGGGAGAACATATAAGGAGTGTGAGCGTATGTATGATTCTTGGAATTTGGCGAGTTGTTGGCTGTGACTTGAGTCCATCCAGCGGACTTGAGACCACCGCTGATGACATCAAAACCTTGTTGGAGATACAGCTTACCATCTGTAGATGGCGTGTCCGTCCCTGGGATGCGGGAGAACACCCGGCTCGTTGCAGCGGACATGTCGCTCGACTGCCATCCTGTAGGAAAGTTGTAATCCCAATCCAGAGTGTATGGCTGTTAACCCAATGTTAGCAAGTCGTCTGCTTTTGGTCGGTGATCGTCCCTGAAGGGTGCTCAACAACTTACCTTCCACCACAAGCCAGCATTCACAGCCGTTCCACCTCCTAGAACACATCCGGCCATCTGATCGGTATCCGTACAAGCAATGCCGTTCGCATCCACCCAGATCTCATTGCAGAGACCGGGAACATCGAATCGCGTCAAGTTGGTACCATCCAACCAATCCGGCTTCATAGTACCGCCCCATCTGCCAGAAGACGGGGGGCCCTTCTCAATGAGCAGCACGCTCTTTCCAGCCTCACTCAGCTTGTCGGCAACGGGAATACCTCCAGCGCCACCGCCAATCACGATGTAATCATACGTCACGCCTGTCGGAACTGGGACGGAGGAGATGCTTGTTTGCGTTGCGCCGGTGCACTCGCCTGTCACTGTCTTGGTGGCCTTTGCTGCCCACGCAGTATAAGACGGATTTGCGATTTCGTCGCCGAGCGTGGCCGGGAAAAGATTCATGCCATTATCATGTTGAAGGAGGGTGATATCATCCGGGCACTGGGCATTGCCGGGAGCTGGAAAGGCCTGCGCCCAACCCATCAACCAGAAGCGGCTGCTCGTTGATACCTTGTTGCTAACGCCATCTTGCGACCAAGACAGACAGTTCTGGCACCGGAAGATCAGAGTGTAGTGCGTCGAGTTGATGGTGGAGGAGATCTGGGTCAGAGTTGCGTTTCCTGTGTAGAGGTCTGGCATGGCATATGCCGACGCGTAGCGGAACGATGTTAAAATCTGACCGTCATACGGCCAGGCCACGATGAGAAGCGAGTTTGTCATGCCACCTCCTAGAGAGATACCGCACCAGCCCTCTGATGTCGCATCTTTGGAAGCACATTGCTAGAGACTATCAGCAAGTATAACAATAGCTATGATCAGAAAAGACATACTAAATATCCAATGAACTCGGTCGCATCCGTTGTCAAAGCATTTGATGGAAGGGCAACACCCCATGTAAGTCCACCAGAGGTCGCTGATCCTGAGGTCTGGCCATTGGCTGGCTGGTCGGGCACCACCCAGGTATCAAATATGATGCCTGTTGTCGGGTCGGTGTATGGCACCGGAGTCATCTCCTGGGCAACACATGTCGACTCGAAGACTATAAACAAATTAGTGAATTGCATTTACAACCATTTTGTTTAGAGTGACTTACATGGCACAACGGCCAGGAGGACAGTGAACACACGACCAAGAGCCTTCATAGTGCCAGCCAGACACACCAACAGCCAATGTTTCAAGATAGCTGGACAGAATAAGGAGCGAGAGGTACAAACGCCATGGGTCTTGTCTTTAATATATATTGTCTTCTCCGAGCATGATGATCAACAGGAGAGCGTTCCGTTCGGAAGGCAACCCTGCCAGGCATGCCCAGGCCATGGATCTGGGGGGACTGATGTCTAATGGAAAATCTCCGGTAGGTGGATTTGACGGATAGCCTTGTCCGAATCTGAACATGATCCTTGGTAGATGTAACTATGCTGGGTTCCCACAGACCAGGATGAACGGAGAGTGACTTTTCTCGCGGATATCGGAAAGACCATGATGAGTAAGAGATGATAAACATGCTATGAAAGACGACTCGGGCTCTGAATCAAGGAATGGCACTCATACGGTACTTGAAGAGGATTGGGCTGGGCATCATGGTAAGCAAAGTAACACCCACTGATTTAGCATTGCAAACATTCTTTCTCAGCGTGTCTGTCATGTTCTGCTTGATCACAGGTACAGACAACCAGCGTAAGAGAAGAGACGACAGGGGTTTACCGCCGAAGGACTACAAACCAGGTTGCAGTGGGCGGTATTCACTCCCTAATATTAGGACTGTCACGGACAGATGGTCCGCATATTACTGTTCCCGGTAGTGGTTTCGGCGGTATATTAATGAAGTTGCGTGGACCTGGAGTGACCCCGCCACATATCGCTGAAATATGGCTGTCGTCATGCTCTGAGGTGACATGGATGGCACACCCCTCTTCATGAACGGCCAGGAGCGATGAGAAATACCAGAGAAGAGGATGGCCAGATGACAGGTACTCGCCACTAGTCCATGAGGATTCGCATACAATGACACCCAAAAAGGGCCATTTGGGCGTGTAGGACTGCTGAGACCGCTGAATCTCCACGTTTGAGAAGCCAAGAGGCCAGGGGTAGAAGCATTGCTTGCCGCCTTGCCGCAGCTTTACCCCAAACGTTTTGCGGGGGAGGCGCCTCCGAAGCCTGCTGGCCTAGATTCTAGGATCAAGGACGCATTCGTTTCCCTATACCCTCCGTGACGAATCTGACAGGTGACAGCGCTATCAAATGTTGGAAAATCTGCGTGCATCTTGTTCTGCAGCCACAGAAGCCGCTGTCAAAGATAGAGTTTCTTTAAATTTTCAAAGTGTACATGTGTTTATGTCTAGAGAGGTGAAGTTGAATTTAGGTACTTGCCTCTTCAGTTACAACCAGGGGCAGGTGACCAATCAAACAAGTGCTTATTCTCATTTGCATCCAAAGTAGGAAATAGCGAGGGGAGAGCGAACTACCCTGGAGGCATGGTCAGTATACCTACTACCTACGTAGCTTGCCGTTGCTTGTACATCATATTGACCATCTCACAATGTTCTTATCATGCATGATGCTTGAAAATATTCAACTTTCTTGATCGTACATGGGATTGGAGCCACTATCATCTATCTTTCTCTCCCGTCCAGCTGATTGTCTCCGGACCTTTATGCCGCCTAGCAATTGGAAATGTGACACCGTGCGAATTCTTGGAAAGTTCGACTTTGGTCGCCGTGTCGTTCGTTACTTGTGTCCCGGTCCGCTAGGGTGCCGGACCCGACATGTCTCATTCGGCAGAATGGGAGCAGGTACGGAGGATTACCTTTATCGGCGCGCTCCTATGAGGTCTGATGTGCATCGCCGCAATTGTTGCTCCCAGGGTATTTTCTTATTGGCCATGGCTTTACTCGCTGTCATTACTTTGTCTCTGTGAAAGCTCAAGTACTTTAAAAGGGGCATCTTGGTAGACTAGTGACCAAAGATTGTCGATTCATATCTTGGTGTCACCAAAAGAAATCGCCTCCATATTCCCGATCGTCATACTTGCAAACATATTACAGTTCGTCACAGCCAACCACACATTCGCCAAAACTATTGACATGCTCCTTCCAAGATTTTATGGTTTCATTTACAGAGATCTCTCATTTCAATACCGATTAGTCCCAAAATGCAACTGACCGAGCTCTCATCTCTGGGATACTACACCCTGAAGTCAAGTACCCTAACCCTCGATTTTCCGGCGACTTTTTACCCGATTTTTGACTAGCCAACATAAGACTAAATAAAGTGGCTCTCCGGTATCAATAACCAATAATTGGCCGCGTGGCCTAATGTACGTTTATAATTCTCCATGTCAAATACATTTGACAATGATGCTAACCCCTATAAAGGGCTAAGGCGCCAGATTTCGGCTCTGGAGATTGTGCGTTCGACTCGCACCGTGGTCGCTCATCATTTTTTGCCTCCGTTCGCAAACCGATTATCTTTTTGAAGTAAAAAACATAGCCCTCGAGATTAACCTTGAAATATCTGTAGACGTTTTACTTCGTTTTGGTGGTTCTCTGATCTCTCCGCCCCTCTTTTGAAGTTGTTTAATAATGCCGAACCTCTTGTCTCAAGAGCTTTTCAACAACATGTAGGCATGGCAAATTGCAAACTACACCACAGTGCTCTTCAGTTGCTTCCATTCTAGTTTAGAATATATTTCTATTTCATATGCGTATGATAATTGTATGGCAATTGTACAGCCGTGGCGTATGTACCAACGGCCAAAGTCTGAGTATATATATGTATATGGTGTGAATGAAGCCTTGATGCAATGTGCAAAACACCAGCACTCCTCAACGCACCGCCCATGCGTCTATAGAGGGTATCAAATGCTCTCTGTTCTCCTCACGTCTCTTCGATTCGACTGCGTGATCAGTTCTGTACGGCAAAGACAACGAACTCTACCGTCTCTAAATCCAACTTCTCCATGGATAGCCATGACTGCTTCGGCTCCTGCTGCTAAGCAAGCAGCAGACTGCTGGAACCCCTTTTCTTTCCCCTTTTTATTCTCTGAAAATTTCGTAACGGCACTCTCACAAAGCTTTCTGGCTAGCCCTTCAATTCCTTATCTCCACACCTGTGGCCTTCACCGTTTCGGCGGAGATGGGTATCGGCTGCCCCCTGACCTCAGCCGTCAGGTTGATGAGCTCCTTCAGCATCCGTTCGCGTGTCGTCCTAGTGAGCTCGTCGACGTCCGCAGGGGTAAGACCCGTGGTGGGAATGGGGTCGAGCACTAAAAAGACATGTCAGCTTCCATATCCTGCGCAAAGCATGAGCAAAGGGGAAGGATACCTTTCATGGGTATGGAACCCGACTTGAAGACCAAGCCCTTCACCCACAAGACGTGGCTGTAGTTTGCGACGACGACGGGCACGATGGGGACCTGCGCCTGGACGGCGAGGTGGAAGGCGCCCTTCTTGAAGGGCAGCAGCATGGGGTCCTTTGCGTAGCTGCGGGTGCCCTCGGGGAACATCCAGACGTTCTGGCGCTGGGCGCGGATCTGGTCGGCGGCGCCGCGCATGGCCTCGCGGGCGTCCTTGCTGTTCTTGCGGTCGATGAAGATGGAGTTGCTGAGCGTCATGAACCAGCCGAGGAAGGGCATGCGCTTGAGGGAGGACTTGGCGGTGACGCTCGTGTGCTTCGGGAATATGATGCCCAGCATCAGTACGTCGAGCTCCGTCTGGTGGTTGCCGACGAAGACGGCCGGGCGCGTGCGCTCGAGGTGGCCCTTGGGGTCGACGATCTTGAAGCGCACGCCCGTGGTCAGCGCCATGATGTACTCGAAGACGCGGCCGGTGGCCCACTGCGAGTTTGAGGCGTCGCCGAAGAGGCGGAAGGCGATGGAGATGAAGACGCCGGCGAGGGCGGTTATTATCATGGAAATGTAGGCGGCCAGCAGCCGGGCGACGAAGCCGGCCTTGGTAGAGACGAGGGACAGCATGTAGAAGAAGACGGTCAGCCCGAGATAGCCGGCGAGGAAGTAGTATAAGTAGGTGAGTAGGGAGGACATCGCGGGCGAGGAGGAGAGCGCTCGGGATGCCTGGGAAGAGTTGTGAGGAGACGTAGCCAGCGGTGGGCGAGCAGCTGGCGAGACGGTTTATATGACCTCAGTCAGGAAGGAGGTGGCTTATAGGAAGAGGCGCCGAAGTGATTCTATTCCCTCCCAGACGACTGCATGAAGGTATTGTGTTGTCTTTCGAGAAGAAGGTCTTTGCGCATGTGAATCGAAGTTGGGAAGGTCGCAGCCACACCGTTGAGTGTGAAGTATCGTGGGAAGCGTCGGTTGAGGAACTTGGTCTCGTATGGTCAGCAGGATCCGAACTGTAACAGAGACATCTGGCGCAGCACAGAAGAGTCAAGAGATCTAGACATGCATAAGCATGGGCGGAGGCGTAGGCGTAGGCATAGACATAGGTGAGGCAGGTGAAAGTAGAGAGGGACCGGCGAGGAGGTAGGATTTGGAGCTGAAATTCCATCTTGATCGAGAGGGCGGTGGGATGACTGAATGCAAGGCCCGCTATTGGGGGCTTCTGTTGGGCGTGACCCCACCAAATTTTGGCCTACCTGAGCCATTGCTGTGGGCGGCTTACCGTGTAACACACCAGAACGACGGCACTAGCAGCACTATAAAGAATGGAGATGCCGAGGCGTGGGTGCTTGTTGAGAAGAAAATCCCAGCTTGGACATTGGCCTTAGTGCGGGGCAGATGGAGCAAGGGTCCTCCTTATACATGTGTACTGCATAGTAATGTAGGTAAAATGTAGCCAACCTTGGAACCCATTCAGCCTCGATAGCATTGCTGGATATTGAATGGGTGGTTCATATTAGCCAGGAGCATGAGATCTCACTCACACAGCAGTAGCCCTGTGCTTCTAAACTACAGTTGCACGGCTTATCATGGCCAAGGCAGGCAGCACCTATAGATACCTAAGTCGGTAGCCTCGGAACCGGGTTGCACATGCCAAGAATAAATCCAGGTTTCTGTCCACCCTGACAGCGGCACAATGATGCTATTCCGAGACATCTCAATATATTGATTGATGAACGCCCTACACTATATACCTTAGGTTCATGACCCCATATATTCTGGCTGCCCGTGGTTGCGTGCTGTGTTGCAGACATCAGAGAGCGTCTACTGGATGGAGCAAGTATAAGTGCTCTGTGGGGTGTCTTTCTCCCCTCTGACCTCTGTACAGAACCCGCTGAAAGACCCCCTGCCGGCTGCCAGCGACACGTGAGTCTCGGCACTGCGCGCCCGTCAGGAGCCGACTCCGGGGCATGTTTTGGCGCTTGGCCCAGCCGCTGTCACCCCTTTGGGCACTGATAGGCAACACCTTTCTGTAAGGTGATGTAGGGAGGTGCTCCTCCACTCGACGTACGCACTACTGCGCAGTAGGTCTTAGACAACCTCGACGTAATACATCGAAACGGCGTGTCGATCCTCCAACTTCTCCTTGAACTCCTTGGGAACCACTGCCACTGCCGCTGCCGCTGCGATCGCGTCGCCGACCATAGCGAGTCACCCTCCGAGCTCCGTGGCGCCTACGATGCTGCAATTGAGATAGCATTCTCGCCATGGCAGCATCTCGACGGGGTCAACCTCCCCTTTCCGTCCGCCTGCCCGGCGGCGGCGGTCCTGGCCTTGGGACCGGAGGTAGCCCGGCCTTCCTGCCCGACCTGCCGCCCATCTCGGCGCTGTTTCTCATCGACTTCGATGTCAAGGCCGGCTACACAATCATATGGAAGCAGGCCGTGCCGGGGCTGGAGCTCGAAGGCGTGGTCGAATACAAGAGTCTGCCCTCGGGCCTGCACACCGTGCCCGACGATCTGATTTATTTCGTTCATGATGAGGGCTACGCTGGGTTGAGCGCATTCGTGAACACGAAGACGGACGAGGAGGAGTCGCGACATGCGCGCATGATCGCGGTTGGCGTGCTGGTGCCGCTTAGCTATGGGAGACTGGGGAGGGCATGGAGGCATGCCGAGGGCTTGAAGAGCATGGCGGCGTAAGTCCTCGCACCCGCTCCAAGTCTATGCTTCGTAACATATGTGACTGACATGTCATCATTACACAGAGAACTCGCCGTCGATCGAAAGCAAACTACCATTTTAGAAGAATATTGGGAAAGGAGTCGCGCCCGTGATGGAGGCGGCCAACAAGCGCTCAATAAGGACTCACCCCTTACCTCACCAGTTGTGAGCTTCAACTTGAGTCGCGGCAGCCCGAGACGGGGCCATGCGCGGAACAGATCTGCCTCTGATGCCGCAGCTCTGATTCCTCCCGGTCACAGACTATCGCCCTTTCATCCGGCGTGGAGTCTGACGACCCTACTAGACACATTTGGACCGTTAATCTTCCCCATTCATCGTGCTGCATTGTTGCGTAAGCGCATATTAATATCTACTCATGCTCCCGTGCATGAGACCTGTAACTTTGGTAGGTCAAGCTTGACTCTTCACATTTCCTCAGCTGTCTCATCTAACATCCTCAAACAGTGTATGATATCTCGATCCTCGCCAACATACCCCTTTCGGTATTTGACCTGCTTGATCCGTCCGCGCCATCACAACGGCTCAAGCCGTTGTTCACCATTGGAGTACATGATATCCCATTCCTACTAGAAGACAATGCCGCTTCTAAAAGGAGAGCTTCGGGAACGCTCGAGGAAAGCAATCTCGGAGGCACTACAGGCTCAGGCTGGATTGCCTGTACGACCGACAGCATCCTTGCTATGAAGGACGACCTCTGGGACGTGCTCATCACGATGCCGCCTCCGCACTCATCCAACGCCCAGGAAAAGATCTGGCCAACCGTGGAATCGCCAAAAGGATCACCAGTGAAGGCGACACAGCGCGATCTGCGCCGCTTCCGCTCCCTCAGAGCCGGCTTGAAACGGGTCGCGGCAACTAACGCAATATCCGAAGAAGGCAGCCCCAGCTCCGAGGTGCCGCCAACAACCCCGCGGCCTCGCCAGTCGACGTCGTCCGGCGTTGCAGGCTTCTACTCCGAAGAGGACTCGATGCTAGCAGACGCGGCGGAGAAGGTCGTCGAGCCCACGACGTGGGCGGCCCTCGCCTACAGCGGGTTCATGTGGTGGGCGAGCGCGGGCGAGCAGGAGCGGTCCGACGAGGCCGAGGAGTCGGCGCACGACGCGACGCTGCTCGTGGACCTCGCGCCGCCCGTGCTGCACCAGCAGCAGCAGTCGTCGCTGCGCTCGGCGGGGCTGATGGTCGACTCGATCACGTCGCTCAACGCGCGGCGCGCGACCACCTACGACGGGCTGGTGCCGACGGACGAGGAGGAGGACCGCGCGCGCACCGAGCTCGCCATCATTGCGTACTTCCACCGCCTCACGACGCAGATCCTGTCCGTGCTGGCGGACATTGTCGAGAGCTCGGACGAGGACGACATGATTGATGTGGACCCCGAGGGAGAGGGCGACGTGCTGCTGCAGCCGGGCGAGGATGACGATGATAGGGGGTATGTACGAGTCGACAGCGAGAGTCTTTCCAGCATGGGCCTGGACGTCTGGAGCCAGGCAGATGCCGAGTTTGTGAGGCAGGTAGTGGCGAGATATTTTACTAGACGGGCATATGTCGAGGGTAAAGGGGTTGAGGTGTGCGGACTGAAGGTTTGTTAGTAGGCTGCAACTGGAGTCGCAGCTGTGTTATTTTAAGGTGTATGACATGGCATCACATGTATGCTGTGGAAGGAGCGATGCTCGTGGCATCTTACACGTCTAATGGGTAACAAAATGAAGATCTGTAGGATCTATGTAGGAAGAGAGCAAGTATTTCGCGCGTGGTTTCCACACCACCATGTTCATCGTGCATGCTCCAGATGACCAACAATCTACCTTCTCCCGGTCTAAGTAGTCCCGTGCAAACAGTAGTGAAATCTTCAGAAAGCGTTCCAAGTCCTTCGGTGTAGGAGTCTTGGTTGTCTGATAATGGCACTTTGAATTCAATTATGAAGTCACATCAGAGACTGGAAAGTCGGGGTTTGGCTCGGGGGGCTGCAGATAATGCATAATAGCGTATCATGTACTATTACGCCTCGTCAGCCTCACTGGACCATCCAAACTTTCAAGCACACCTGGGCAGAACACTTTGCCCTTGGAATAACATACATTTCTTGAGCTGAGAGGTTAACGTCGTGGCTAGAGTAGAATAGTCGCAATTTCATTCATTGTGCAATGAGCGACGAGGCTCCTCAAAATGTCTCTCAGCCCCTTCATCTTCCAGTATCGCTCGCTAGAATCACCAAGCGAGATCCGTGTCGTCAGCCTTCGTCGAGGCTCCGGCACCGACCTGATAGAGTGTGTACTCCTCCACACAGAGATCCACGACCAACCCTACCAGGCGTTGTCGTATGAATGGGGGCTTCCCAGCGATGACGATCCAATCATTCTCATGGACAGCTTTCCAGTCCGCATCCGAACGAACCTGCATGAAGCTTTGAAGATGATCAGGCTGCCGGACGGGGACGTCTGGATGTGGATTGACGCCTTGTGCATCAACCAGGAGGATCCTCAGGAGAGAGGACACCAAGTGAGCATGATGGACGGAATATACAGCGGCGCGGAGATTGTCATCGTCTGGTTAGGCGAGGCCAGGGACGGGAGCGACTTCGCAATGGAGACATTCGCCAAGCCAAGCAAGCTTCCGCAGCTCATCAAGAAAAGGAGCTTTCAAGAAAGCCAGCGACAGGCTCTTGTTTCCTTGGCCTATCGTTCGTACTGGAGTCGTGTCTGGGTGCTCCAGGAGATCTACCTAGCCAGGAGCTTCGTTGTGCGGTGTGGCTGCAAGTGCATCTCTGATGCGGATCTTAACACTGCTTTGGTTACTTTTCACCAGGATGACGGCCAGGACTATTGTAATCAAATAGCAAAAAGCACCCTCGAGCAGCATAGACTGGCGAAACTATTTCAAGAGAAAAATGTCTTCGAGTTCAATAGCTTGGGCCGGTGGCTGAGAGTGTGCATGGTGCGGAATCTGCAGTCCAGCCAGCCTCATGACTTGATATACGCCCTTCTCGGCATCGCTCACGACTGTCCGAAGGGCACGATCGTGCCTGACTATGATAAGCCTCTCCTGGACGTCTATCGCGAGGTAGCACATCTCTGGTCACGCTCGGCGGACTGCATCAAATTCAAATCACAAGAATCGAGAACAGACTTTCTGCATAACCTCGCCATCAAACTGGGCCTAGACTACGATAATGATATGAAACGGCTCATATCTGATTTAGTTGCAATTTATTGAACCTGAAATCAGTAACATCCATTCACAAGGCTTGTCAAGGCGAAAACGGTGCCTATGCTGAAACGTCTATACGTGTTGCTTGTCGATATGCTTCACAATGGCCTACGACGATTGTATGCTGAAAACAGTATAGCAAAGCTTTAGTCACTCGCCCAGATGAACCGGCGGCCTAGACAATCATGACTATGAATGTTATACTCAATAGTGTTACATATTGTTTACTTTCATCCTATCTACTGTGTTCGGGCCTGACTAGCATCTCATACAGCCGAGCTCGCGACATCATCGAAGGTTCGTCATCAAGATTAAGCTCCATAAGAGAAAGGATGGTGAAATGAGGTGAAGCCGCAAGTTGCGGGTATATTAGTGACTAGAGGAAATTGTTCCGATACCAATGGTATAGTTGTTTCTTCTAAGTGACAGAGAAAGTTTCATACTGGAATATTCGGTGAGAGACAACGGTGATTCGTCGTCATCAGCACATTTGGTGGTAATCTGCATGGTCGATACAAGTTGATAGACGAAACCGTTAATGCAGTCAAATTGATGAACCTTTTTCAGTGATCGTAAGACTCGTCAGGGCGTCGGCAGACGACCTGGTATGTGACCTTGTCTACCCAAAAAGGCGTATCAAGCTCACGGCGGTGGTAGTGGTCGAACTGAACAAGCTCCTTGAACGGGAAGGTCTTCGTGAGGAACTTCTCGTACCAGTGACGATTCTCCTGGGTTCTAGCTCCAAACTCCGTTTCGTCCTTGGTCTTGTAAAGCACGTCCACGAACAGGCGCATCAGTCGGCAGGAGTTCAGGGTCAATGAGCTGTAAAGTCGATCGTTCTCGGGGTTATTGAAGGTGTAGTAATCGCCAGCAAACCACCGCGTACAGCAGCAAGCGAGCACCTTGTCCATGAGGGCCATACCCACTCCCTTGCGACGGAAATTCGGGTCTACGCACAAGAACAGCTTGCCCGTAGAGCTTCCCATTGACGAGGTAGGCTTTCCACCGAGACCGCGGTCGTGAAAATAGACAAACGCGAACCCAATCACCTTATCTGTCGTCATTTCCAAAAGTCCAGGCCAATTACGGAACGCTGAAGCTGAAAAGTCGTCGCGTTTGTGAAGCTTCTTGGATTCAGAATCTGCCACAGTTCCTTCCACGGCAACGACGAAAGGAACGTGCATTTTCATACAGGAGGAAAGGATCCGAGAAAGGTCGCCCTCGTTAATAGGCTCGGTGTCAGCAGCCTGAAAGCCGTTCTTGACCTCCCAATTGTAAATTTTGGAAACACCACGCAAATCCTCCTCAGTTGCTGGACGAAGATGACAAGTCAGTCCAACATGGCGACCGGTTGGATTGGCCTTCTGCACCACAGGCGCCGAGAAGTGAATGGGTGCCTTCTGAGCCTCAGAATGAGAGCTTACCCTGGCCTTCTGCTTGCCATATCCGTGAATCTGGCCCCAGGAAGTCTGGTTGAGGTTGTCAAAAAGCTCCTTGAGCTGTCGAGGACTCAAATAAGTATCGACATATGGCATAGCTCGTGGCTGTGTAACAGGCTCGATCAGCTTTCCTGTATAGGTGTCGATGTCATGGAGATAGTGCTCTTTGATGTGCTCTTTGATGTGCTGCTCCTGAGTGGTGAAGACAGCAATGGGCTGCTCTTCAGGGATACCTTGCAACCAGCACATGACAAAATCCCTGAACTGTGTTCGATCGGGATGCCAATCCTCGTGCTCTGAGTTGTCATCCCCCTTCCACGTCGTTCGTACAAGACCCTCTCGGCCCTCTCCACTGACCAAGCTGACTTGAGATGATCTGATACTGCCAGGGTTGCCCTTACCTGCCGCATCTCGATGAGTCTTTCGAGGCACTGCAGGAGATCCGCCGAGATGAGCCACACGAAGGGCACCTGCAGTGAGTGGATCGCCTCTGGACTGACGGTGGCTCGTGGGGTCATCACGTGTGATGAAGCGGCGCATTTGTCTAATGCTCTCGATTGCCGGATGATATCTAGGCTCGTCTCCTGGCTTGCTGGGCTGGTCGCCGATAGTGAACGGGAAGTCATCTCGCTCAATCTCAATCGTATCTTGATCTGAGGGTAAATTCAAATTCTCCTTCCGCCACAGATGTGGCGGAACACCAGATGAGAAGTCATCAGTGGCGGTACTGTAGTGCTGCTCTGGGACATTGGTGTTGACATCATCTAGGGTATTTGGTGTTTTAGTAGGTTGGAAGGCATAGTGACGGTCCTCTGGGTTCACCCAACCATGTTTAGCCATGCTTGCCGCAGTACGCTATGATAGAAATGTCAGAACCGGTACACAAAGTGAGAATGAGGCGAAGCCTGGTGCAAACAAAGGGCAAAATGGAAGTAGCTTACCTGAATGATTATCCTTGTGATTTCTCCCAACAGAGAGCTGCAATAACTTGTAGTAACCACAAGTAGTAAAGACAGCTGGAATGAGTTGTGAAAGAGGTAGAGCTGGGAGAGGGAGATATGTGTAAGGTAAGTGTCGTTTGTTATGAAGGTAATGCGCTAAGGAGCCCGAGCTGTCGGTGAGAGCCGCTTGTTGGTTTGACAGCTTCCTCGAGCCTCGGTAAATAAGTATGGATAAACAACAGAATGTGTGCTCTGCCCTGATTAACCACGTATATTTGATGTGAAGCCTGATGGTACCTAGGTGATGTAATCAAGCATGAGAGGTGGAAAGATACAAATAGCGGTATCGTGTGTGTTCAGAGACAACTTTTGATAGGGACAGGTGGGCAAAAGGAAGGTAAGGAGGTGTGAAGGAAAGAAGGCAAATTCCCCAAGCTGAGGTAGCTTCCTGGCAAGAAGCTAAGCAGAGACCTCAAAAAATAGGTAAATATCAAGGTCTGTCATCACGTCAGCTTTGACCCTGTGAAAGTTGTCGAGGATTCACAGCAGAGGCACAATAATTATTTCCAAAGGAGCTTATAGAATCCGAGAGAAAAGCGACGCATACCTCTCGTAAGTCAGTGCTTTCCCCAAAGGGAATGCCTTTTGCTTCATACCCCTTTTATCTTTCTTGTATGCTCGACTGCTATCCGATTCCTTCAAAAGCAACACACCTGTTGTAGCCAAAGAGAAAAGGGAAACCTTTTTGAAACAGGCCCCCATAGTTCATTTATCCCTAGAGATGTATTTAATACGCCAACACTCGGTTCCATGCTGGGAGGTCAATCTATGAGTCGCAAAGTGATGTCGTTGTAGACTGACCAATCACGTGGCAGCTTTTAAATACCCCATCTTCTAACGTTGAGGTCCGGTCGAAGCTCAGGCAGTCGCCATTTGACGACAAACATCAATTGCAGTGCCGCCACCCCCAAAAAGCGTGCCACAATCATTGCGGCAATGCTTTCCATATTGAGGAAGGCCAGACTAAAAGATAAGGAATTGAGAATATTGATGCTGTATGTAACGAGCATGTGTCTTCAACCAGCGATCCATTTGACCGCTGACAGCATGGCAGGGGTCTTGACAATGCTGGGAAGACCACTATCGTTAAGAAGATTATGGGCGAAGATGTGAATACCGTCAGCCCCACGCTAGGCTTCATTATTAAGACGATAGACTATGAGGGGTGAGCCCTATTGCGAGGAAACGTTGCTTAATCGCACATTATGCTGACCTCCTTAAGTTACAAATTAAACATCTGTGTGTCGAGCAATTCTAGCGGAACCCCAAACATGGAGCTCACCCGCATTGTCTAGGGGATGTCGGTGGACAGAAGACTCTTCGATCATACTGGCGCAATTACTTCGAGAAGACGGACGCTCTGATATGGGTAGTGGACGCCACGGATCGACTGAGAATTGACGACTGCCGAACCGAGCTTCACGGTTTACTTCAAGAAGAGGTTTTGTTCCTGCCCTATATTGCTATGAATAACTGGCTAATTTGAGAATCAGCGACTTTCGGGCGCAAGCCTTCTCGTGTTTGCAAACAAGACTGATGTGCAAGGGTGCATGACGGGAGACGAGATTCTCGAAGGTCTGCAGCTTAAGAGCATCCGGACTCATCGCTGGCAAATCCTTCGGTGCAGCGCCATGAACGGCCAGAATCTAAAGGAGGGCTTGGCATGGGTTGTGGAAGATGCCAAAGCGAGACTCTTCCTTTACTGAGTCACAGCAATGCTGGCAATTGCCTGCCACGTTGACATATATCTAGTGCATGCCCCAGCATACAACCAAGCCAGAGACCACCGCCGGATTTGTGGATAAATGAGCTGGAAAATGGCCGCTGATTCCTGGGTCGTTTGAGAATAAGGTTGCCGAACCGTGCAGGCCACATATCGCATGCACTATTTATCACTGCTTGACACAGATCTCCCATGAAAAGGAGGGTGGCTGCGGAACCAGCAGGTCGGGATCTATCTATATGTGTAATGGCCAACGTGAAGGCAATCACACGACCAAGCAGACTACTGGCTTACCTGTTCATTGTTGCAATATTCGTATTTAAGGAATGGGATTGTGAGTCGTTTCAAAGGGGGCAATCTCAGGAACAGAAACATTAGATATGGGACAACAATGCCTTAATCAATTCTAATCTACCCCGACCCTTGAGAACCTGGAGTTGAAACAGAAACAACCTGGTGGTATCCAGCCAGTCGGATGGCATATTGTGTCCCGTCTAGAGCCCTGCAATGGCGCGAACAAGCGGGTGGTCTCAGCGTCTGACCTGCACAAAACTCTGAGACACAGTGGAGACAGCTGTGGTAGAAAGTGTGCGTGTAAGACGACGGAGAGCGGGCGGGTGGAGGCGCCTCGGAAAGGATTACCACCGCCTTCCTTGTCTTAGCAAAGCAGCTTAATAGACAAATCGACGGTAAGACACGCTAGAACAGACGACGCGAGTTCCCCTCTAGCCTTTGCCTTAGGTTGTTGACAACGTCGACAAGACTCTCGTGTAGTCGTTTTGCTAGAGACTAACTCAGAACCCACTACGAGAAAAACCGGTTTGTCTGCTTTCGAACCCCTCTAATAAGCAGCCAGGAACCGCGGGGTGTGCATGTATGCGTATGTGCGTGTGTGTGTGTTGACAAGGAGAGGAAGACCCAATAGAACCGCCGTTCGCGTTGTGTCGTGTGTCATGTCGTCTGTTTAAGGGCGGTCCTGCGAATATTACCGGTACCAGAACTTGAGAAAACCCCCAAACCATGTCGGACGAGGTGTCCAATTTCCTGCGGTCGGTGGAGCAGCTGAAGGACCGCCGCGACGAAGAAGACGAGGCGCGCTCCAGAGAACTCGAGGAAAAGATCCTGCAAGAGCGACGAGAACGTCAGGCACGCCGTGCAGGTGAGTTCTGCCAATCTTGGCCTCCCTCGACCCTCCTCTTCCTCACAGCTCCGCCGTGCGCCATCATTGGCCTTATTTCCACCTTGAAATCGCATCTAGTCCTGCAAGGCTCGAGTCTTTGTTATTCTGCTTAAAGCATATCCTTCGATCGTGACACTAATCGCCATCCTCATGTTGCAGAGCGCGCCAGGTCGATATCACCTCAGAAATCCTCACCCGCCAACACCCCACCTCCATCCTCCCACCGCAGCCATCTGTCGCGAGACGCGGATGGCTTGAAGCTGACCTCGTCGCCCGTTCCTGACCTGTCTGCAAGCCCAAAGTCCCGCGCCCTTCCTCCTGTCGATACAATGGACATCTCATCGAGCTATTCCGCCTCTCCGACCAAGGAAAACGAGTCTCCGTTCGACCTCGACTCCAAGCGATCAAGCGCAACAATCACATCTCCGCCAACCAGCGGTGTTCCCACGCGGGCGCCCACGTTGTCCTGGCAGAGACGGCCAACTTCACAAGCGTCCGGCGGGTCTCGATCCCGGCCACTGTCTGTGGTCGCGGCCGAAAATGCAGCCGCTCGCTCGTCTACGCCGCCGGCCGAGCCAGCTTCCCCCGAGCATGCCGTCTCTCGCGATCAGATTGCGCAAGCATTATTGTCGAAGGACCCGTCGTGGTTCCGACAGACTGCGGACCGCGGCCAGAACTCGGCTGCGTATCGTCGAAACCAGGTCGAAGATGAGGACAGGTTGGACATGTCATCCATGAGCGCGCAGCTCCCAGGCATGTCGCGGGCCGGCTCGACAGAGCCCGAGAGGGATGTGCCTACGGCTCTGTCCGGCTCTCCTGCGTTTCCAGGAAAGCTTGGCTCACCTCTTCCTCTTACAAGTGCCCAGAAGCTTGATCCTCCGATCAACATGGGCGATAGCTCTATCGATGCAATTGCGTCTCCCCTGTCTACCGGGCGAACTTCTCCTACGCGACCGATATCCCCTACCAAGGGCATGGGCGGGTTCGTCCAGAGCGCGATGATGAAGCGGTCCGACAGCGTCAAGAGATGGAGTGTGACTTCCCCACAAGGCCTACAGCGTGCGGGCTCCGTGGCTTCTAACCGCAATAGCGTTGACTATAAGGAGCGCACTGCAAGCCCTCAACCTGAGGCAACCTCAAGACCCGGCAGCATGCTGAGAGAAAGCAGCTCAAGACCAACCTCAAGCCATGCCAGAGAGTCCCCTCCTCTGTCAATTGATACTGGCACTACAGAAAAGGCTGTCGTAGAGAAGTCTGCAGACCCCGAAAAGACCCCTCCTACCAGCCCGTCCAGGACAATGGATCAGCGTCGCTGGAGCCCTAATAAGACCTCAAGCTGGCTTGATGCGGCCCTGAACAAGCCCGAATCGCCGAAGCCGAAGCCTACACCTCCAGCTAGCTCGCAGCCTGCGTGGATGGTGGAATTGAACAAGGCAAAGGCCCAAAAGACCGGGAACACTAGTGTAGACCTTGGCCGACCTGGAACAGTTACGAAAAAGCATGAGGTGAAGACAGGCGGACTTCTAAGGTCCTCAGCACCTGGAACCACTGTCAAGCCTGCTGGTCTGGGTAGAGTCAATGCCTTTTCTTCTCCGGTTGCAGCAAATGATAAGCCTGCGGCCCTCAACTATCGTAGTAGCATTACAAAGAGCAGTGCGGAAAAGGTGGAGGTTGACGCCGAAGACACCGAGAATGTGGCATCGTTCGGCAGTCCGCCTACTATCAAATCAAAGCCTGAGACGCCTCCAAAGAAGGACTTCCGTGCGGGCCTGAAGCCACGGCAACCTCCACCTGCAGATGATAAGGGGCAGGCCAACGAGTTGCAGAACGTCTTTGGTAACCTACGGCGGACAAAGACACAGAACTACGTTGCTCCTGACGAGTTAAAAGATAATATCTTGCGAGGCAAGGCTGCTTTGAACTTGACGGGCGGACCTAAACCCCGAGAGAGGAAGGACGAATTCAAGGAAGCTATTCTGAAGAAGAAGGAGGATTTCAAGAAGGCGCAACAAGAGGGAAAAGGCGTTACTAGAGCCCCCGGCGCACCCAGCGAGAAGCCCATCCCAGAAGGTTTAGCAAAGAAGCTGGAGATGAGTCGATCCAGCACCATATCTTCTAAGCGAGACTCGGCGACTTCTCAGGCGACATCTGACAGCCCATTGAGGACGCCAACCCTCAATCGTTCCAGTATATCTTCTACAACATCAAAACGAGAGCCAACAAGAGAGTCTGTAGACTTGACTCGGTCTACGACAGTAGAGGCGCCAGAACCTGTCCCACTGCCGTCACTGCACAAAGAGACGAGCGCCCCCGGTCGTTTGCAGGGGAAAGTTGGCGCGAGTGCACTCGCTGACCGATTCAACCCTGCTTTAGCTGGCCTGCTAGCTCGTGGACCACCTGGTGCGGGCTCTGGTGCAAACAAGGACTCCGGCGGCTCGAGTTCAGGTCCAGTGTCGGCACCCACGAACACTGGGACAGAGCCAGGCTCTGGCCCCCAACTAACACACATGACAAAGAATCGGGCGCGAGGTCCTAGAAGGAAAGCTCCTTCGTCGGTTGCAAAGCCAGTTGAGCAGCCAGAGCCAGTAAAGTCCATATCCAGCCCGGAGCCTCTAGAATCGTCTCCGGTCTTCGAGAGAAAGTCTCCGGTATCTGTGCGGTCTAGACCCCTACCAAGTCCAAAGCCAAAGCTTGAGTCGAGGTTTGAGCCTACACCTGAGCCAAAGCCTGAAGTGATCACGCTCGTCGATCCCTCCAAGAACACAGCCTCTGACTATAAAGCACCTTCTGGTGGCGTGGTATCGCTTGTGGACTCGTCGAAGAAGAGAGAGGACAAGTCCGTCTCCACTGGCACTCCAATATCGTTTGGCGGGTCTTCGCATAAACGTTCACCTTCAAGAAAGATCCATGAGCAGGTGGCCGCCATCGCGGCGAAGAGTCAACCTACGCCTAAGCCCGCAGAAGAAAAAGCAGAAGAGCAGCCGTCATCTCCTCGGAAGCTGAATATGAAGCGGATATCAAAATTCTTGGACGAGTCGGCACCGGCATCCGAAGCTGATAGGACAAGATCTCCGTCGCCAGTCAAGCGGACCCTCACAGAACCTACTTCACCAACGAAGCAGACACCCAGTGACAAAGTCGATTCGGACCCTATCGTGTCTGTCAGAAATGGCGCTGCGATCTTCGGTGGTTCTGCAATGATGCCGAAGGTAGAGCCTCGAGCCGAGAAGCGCGTCCCTGAACCGCTGCGGCCAAGATCACCGACGAAGAACGCTATACAGTCTCCCACACCTGTGGCAAGTTCTGGTACCAAATCACCACCTCCTATCTCATCGCCAATGCGCTCCCCTAATAAGTATGCGCAAGAAGTTTCGTCCATGCTGAACGATTTCTTTGGTGACTCACGGCCAAAGAGAAGCTATAATGTTGACGCCGCCGAACTCTTGATGAATAGACCCCAAGCGGGACCGCGGATTCAGACTCAGAAGGTCCAGCTGTTCCAGGTATCTGCAGACGGCAAGAAAGTGGCCGTACCAGGACACTACGAGCGCGTTCTATTCGAGAGGGAGATGTATATCTGCCCCCACACCTTCACAAACGGTGCAGGCAAGAAAGTCTCAGAAGTCTACTTTTGGGCAGGAGATGAGGTTCCAGAGTCTACGGTGGAGGATGCCCATCTCTTCGTCAACCGAGAGGCCCGGGCAATGGGAGGGAAGCTCATCAAGATTCGGCAAGGCAAGGAGACTCCTGAGTTCATCCAGGCTCTAGGTGGCATAGTTATTGTTCGCCGTGGTTCAAGCAACAAATACGACTCGCTTGCTCCCAACATGCTCTGCGGCAGGCGGTTCTTGGGCCAAATAGTCTTCGACGAGGTCGACTTTGCGCCATCCAGCTTATGCTCCGGGTTTCCCTACCTAATTACGCAGCAGGGCAAGTGCTATCTATGGAAGGGCAAGGGAAGCAGTGTGGATGAGTTAAGCTGCGCTCGGCTAATAGGAATGGACCTTGCGCTCATGGGCGAGCTGCTTGAGGTTGAAGATGGAAGTGAAAGTGCTGCTTTTTGGAGTATCTTCGATGGTGGCGCCAAACCCGGTTCTGCTGATCACTGGCGGTTGAAGCCGAGTTACGACAAGTATTGTGGACGGCTGTTCTGCTCTGATGTAGCCGACCGTAAGCAGGTATGTTCGGCCACCTCATTACTCTTAACAGCCTTTTGCTGGCACGAGACGATCTTTTGTAACTAACAAGACTCTACAGATCATCGAGCTTCATCCTTTCAGCCAAATAGATCTCCAGCCCAACAAGATCTACATCCTTGATGCCTTCTTCGAGATGTACATCATTGTAGGCCGCCAGTCTCAGTCTCAATATGCCGCGTTCCACAACGCACTCGACTTTGCCCAGGAATATGCCATCCTGGCAGCTGGTATGGAGGATCGACCGTTCGTCCCAATCTCAACAGTCGTCTTGGAGGGCATCCCTCGAGACCTCAAGAGCGTCTTCCGCAAGTGGAGAGACGACGGCAGCCCGACGCGAACAGCTCTGCCCAACCCCGCGAGCCCGAATCTCAAGCGCGGACGCAGCTTGAGGATCGTGCCCCTGACTCAAGCACTTCAGGCTTTGTCCGAGTAATAATCGAAACAGGAGGCGCCGCCTTTCAGAGGCATTCTAATTCTCGTACATTTTTGTGTTTTCTAATTGAGATCCGTGCATTTCCTGGGCGAAACATGTTGCTTGATAGTGCATCAACTCGACAAGTTTAATCATTTTAATGCATCAGAAGGGAGATATTAGGGGTGTTCAGGGATTTGAAACCTGGTAGGAGGGGTGGAGAATTGCATTGAAGATGTACGATGCGGCAGAAGATGATATGAAAATGAACATGTTCAATTTTCCCTCACACTGAAAGAATATGTGATTGCTGCAAGTGACGCCCCTTTACGCCAAACGTCTAGTATGTGGTATCAACCCTTTTCCACCCGAAAACCATAACGCCATGAAGTCATCATCCTCCGCCATTCTATACACTAGCCCAGGAATACCTGGTCAGCATGAGCTTCCTGATCGTGCCTTGCTTTCTATTGACTCCCAGAGTTGGCAGCCGCAGCGGCCATCACAGCTTTGGCATCGCCTCCCGTGCTCGTCACGACCTTTGCAACATCCTCCTTCAGCTCCGGCATGCCCGCGGCGATCTGCTCCGCCAGGACGTCGCGGAAGCCGCTGAAGGCATGCATCTTGCCGCGCATGAGCTGGTTGCCCCGCCGCACGATCTCGACGAACTCGCGCGTATAGATGTCCGGGTTGCGCCCGTTCTCGACGTACATGATGAGCTCCTGCGGGATCGAGGGCAGTTCGCCGGGTGCTGCCCCTGCCCCGGCGGCGGTGGCGGGCTGTGATGATGCGGTGCGGTGTACGGCTTGGAGGGAGCGCGAGAGAGATGTCAGCTCGGAGCCGAGGACGTCGCGCGTAGGTCGGCCGCCGGCGCTGTCGTAGGAGGAGACCTGCACCATCACCTGGTAGAGGGACTGGATCACATCTTGGATCTGGCCTGGAGACAAATCAGTGATCAGTATGTGGGAGGTTGTGGCGCTTCGAATGGAGAAAGGACTTACGCTCGACGGTGCTGTGATCGGGTCTGTCCATTGGCGCCATGATTTGGAGTTTGGGACACTGACTGCAGGTGGCCCTTGAGTTCGGACAGTGAAGTGATGCTTTCGAGATGGTTGGAGTTCGATGTAGGACAAGGCTGGGCAGGAAAGCAGCAAGCTGGGGTTTAGTGGGGCGGCTGCAGTCGATGTGGTGAACAATGGACCAATCACTAATGAGCTGAATGCCCTATTCAGCCTTCTCTTCCATACCAATTGTCAGAACCCTTAACGGGCAGACTGAAGAACGTAGTCCGTTCACGATCTAATTGATTCGTGAAAGGCGAATGTAAATACTGAAGCTAAGGTTACTATGTAAGTTTTTATACACGGAAGTTCTGATTCAGGTTTCGCAGCGAAGCGAATTCGTTATTTCCACAGCAAAGCTCCTATATTCGGAACTCTAGCTCCGTCTTGCACTTTGCGTACTGCAATGGCCCTTATTCGGGAGAGGTTACTTGTGGTGGAGCTATGGTAGCACTCCGGACAGATAACAATTTGGTCAGTCGATTAGAGCTTTTGCGACTCTTCGGGTCGTGCTTCTCGGACAGCCCGACACTTTTCGAAGATTGCTTCTGCCCTGATTCGACATATTGACCGACTATTGAGGATGGCCGTATTAGTGGCTCATCGCTTATGAGAGATGGTCGTCTAGAGCACTGGACCGGCGAAGAGCCTCTCTGCCTCTCTGTATCTTGAGAGAAAGAATCAGACGTAGATGCGCGAGCCGTTTCTCTCACATGCTGAGTAGCATTGAGTTCAGTTCCCTCGTCAAGAGGGCCTGAAGTGGTTGCAGAGGGCAATTTGATTCGTGTATTTGCGACTTTTGTGACTGGGGAAGAACAGATCTCAAGGTTCGACCCGATCTCTGGTAATACATTCCGTGGATTGTCGGCTCGTCCAGGCTGATATTGCATCCATCGTGGGATTGGTTTGGCTGAAGTCGATTCAAAACCATAATCGCTGAGAGGATTATTAATTGAAACATAAATCGTGGAATTGTTGAGCGGTCTATCATAGTAGAACTGAGTCCCGGGTTGAGAGTTGCGCATCTCTGGAGAGTCTTCATCTCCTGAAAGTTGTGGCATCTTTTCAACGATCGATGGAGATAATGTCTGTTCCAGTGTTAGAGTTGAGAGGGAGATAAATGAAGGAGACTAACTTCTGACTCCTCTTTCCTCTCGTTGATGGAGTTGCCTACCACGGTATGCTGCATTTTCTGTTCCCAGCGATGTCTCGCAAGTCCATCGTCTCGACGGGCAATACGACTTAGAGCTTGACGAGCAAGTCTATCCTCATCTAGGTTATCTGCCTCGATATCGACGAGACAATTTGCACAGAGCGGTACCTCGCTGATCTCCCACCTCTTTGCTCTGCCGGGCTCATCCTCTCTTTGGCAAACAGGCACGATATTGTCATCCGTATCATCATTCGCCTCGGTAGTTCCCTTTGCTACATCCCCATCCTCATCAACTTGGTACAGTTCATCGAGAGTCACGCCCTTCACCACACTCTTGCTCCCGTAGAACAGACACCCATAGCATATCCGATGCCAAAAGCACCAGCCCAGACTAACGCAGTCATCCCCACGTACCACCACTTCTCCGCACACCCAGCATACGGCGAGGTCGAGGAGAGAGGTGTAACATGAGTCGCAGGTGAGCCTGGCGGATTGACCGATAATATGTGGTTTGCCAGACGATATCTGCCAGCAGAAGCTACACGTAAAGGCGAGACCCGAGTTGCTGTCTGGCGCAAGAGATGGACGCGGCGTGGAAGAGGTGGTTGGGGTCTGATGATCTGGATTCGCTGCGGTGTTGTTGATGAGGACATCGTGGTTCGAAGACATTGAAAGGAAAGGATTCGATCTCCGGATCATGCTGTGGAGAGAGATGGTCGTTTACAGAGACTTGATATTCATTAAATAATCATGTTTAGGGATTTAACCTTAGAGATGCCGCCACAATAGTATGCAATATTGAAATAGCAAAGATCACAAATGGTTATTTTGCTGGGTGACTTGGTTGGGACCTATTGATCCAAAGACGGAAGTTCCAAGGTCAGCAACGGAAGGCGCGATGTGCAGTCCTGCTCGATTCCTTGAACCATGGACCTCGCGCCATTCAACAAGCTTCTCTCCTGGAGAGAAACTCACCCCATCCAAAATTGGTTCTCATGTCATGATACAAGTGCTTTTGATTGTTCTTACAGACCATTGCCTAATAGCAGTGATAAAATAACATGAACTCCATCCAGAGGTGTTTTCCATTGCCAGTACCTCGTAACTCCAATCTGACCAGTCCAATAAATCAAATACAAAACATCAGATATACAGTAGACCTTTCAAGAGAACAATCTGTAAACGCAATTACCAGAAATTGGATGTGCGTTGGTCCATATTCATTGTCATGCAGTGGAAAACAGTAACGCCGTTTCTGAGTTGGTTTGCCGTACCGAAGCAGCACAACGCAATGGTGGCATAAGGTCGCGAACTTGAACAACAAGAACAAGAAGTAGGGCATGCAACCCCGTATTAGCGTAGCTAAGTCGGTGAAACCCCCAATCTGAACCCACCAATAAGCGGTCTACTTCCGGTTCTTGGGACGAGCCAACATGTTCAGTCTTGCTAGACTTAGGGATGTTGGCTTTGCTCTGCCGGTATTGTTGCCAGACTTGAGCGGAGACTTCTTCGGGCTTGCACTACCCCTGTTTTTTGCCAACAGGCGCGGAGCGACAAGAGCATCGCCCTCAGCCACCGGCCGGCTCTTTTGTTTCTTTGCAGCTCGTTCCGCTGCCTCCTTCTCTGCCTCCTCCTCGTCATCCGTGACACGGTGACGCTTCTTGTTCACCATTCCGTGAGGAAATGCCTTCATATCGAAGATCGGTTTGGGATCCTGGTTTTCCTTGTCGGCGCCAGATGCCGTTAATAGGCTGGAGGATGGGAAGCTACCTGGCATACGGGCAGTGGGCATGATCGAGGGACGCACATGACGAAGACTCGCCTGGCCAGGGGAGGAACCAAACCCACCCGGAGATGTGCTACCGAAGCGAATAGTGTGATCGCTGCGGAAGGTGAATGTTCCTGGAATATCCTGAGGAGCCGCACGATTCTCTGTTTTGAGCTCGCTTTTGGCTGAAACCTTTGACAGAGAGCGCGAGAGATCCGGATACGTCACAGTGCCGTCATCTTCTTGATCTGCCATTACTGCATCGAGTGAGGGATAATGAATCGGATCATTGTTTGTCTTTGATCGAGAAAGACCAGATTTGATGGGAGACGGCGAATTCTGAGCAAGAGCAGCACGCTTCGTTTCAGGCGTGAAAGAAACATGCTTCGAGAACCGATGACCAGGTGTAGTGAGAGGCAGTGCAGGCAAGGCCTTCTCAAGTCGCCGTGGAGCCGGAGTCTTTGAAGTCTGCGCTAAGGGCATTGGGATGTTGCTCTTTGGTTTCACATCAACAGGTTTCTGTCTAGTAAAGATAGACTTGACCCTGTCGAAACGACCAGGGCTGCGGGCAGGAGACCGCGCCTTACCCTTCTCAGAGTCTTTGGCGTCAAAGTTGTGGATGGTGGCAGACTTGGGTATCCCACTCAGCGTAGTTTTCGCTGGTGATTGGATCATGGAACGAAGTGGGGTTGGGGTCTTCAGACTGGCTGCTCGAGCAAGGGACGACTTAGTCGGCGTCATGAGTGACGCCAAAGTCGAGTGAGAACGAGGAATACTCGCAGAGTCCTTGCCGGCAGTTGTAGGTCTTGGTATGAAGCTGCCGTCTCTGGAAATCGGTCGTTTACTAGAAGCATCATCTTCCAGGTGTTGTCGAACGCGCTTTGCAGGTGAATCTGCATCACGGGATTGAGGACGTCGGACCGTCTTCGCTGATGGTGGCGGGTTCTGTGTCTTTGCACGCATCGATTCGGAGTCGTCGAGATTTGCCTTTGACTGGGTTCGCTTAAGACCCTTTGAGGCTGGTGTGAGTCGTCCTGGAACAGCTCGAAACGCAGAGGGGTGATTCTCAATAGAGTCCATCTTCTTGAACTCTGCCATGTGAACAGCGCTGAAGCGGCCAGCTTTCCCCTTGGGTTGCGCGATTTTGCGGCCGTTCATCTGTTCCTCTTCAAGCTTCTCTTGCTCGCGCTTTGCGGTCAAATCAGCCTTGATTTTAGCAGCTTCCTCACGCAGCTCATTCATCATGCGTTGAGCTTCAGGGCCGAGACCAAGATCGCCAGCCGGGCGAGTGAATGTGAAGTTGAACGGCGAGGACGAGACAGTTGCCTTCGATGGCGTCAGCTGCGCCAGCGCACGTTGGCGATCACCAACATTCCCCGACGGCTTGATATCTGTGAAGCCCAGTCTGAGGGCAGATGAAGGAGGAGCCATAGTAGGATGGACTTTGCTTGGATGCATCTCGGACATGGGGGGCTTGGTGGGAGAAGAGGCGGAGGGTGTTTTGGGCTGAGGCATGGGCGATGAAATGACGGCGTTCAGGCTCTGTGTAGGCTCATCGACTGGGCTCTCATCGCGCTCAGCAAGAGATGATAGGCTCATGGCAAGCTCTTGCTTCTTGGGAGTCTGTGAATTGATTGTGTCAGTCGAGTTGGATTACAGCCAGGTGCTTTTGATAATGATAACGTGTTTGTTTACCTTGGTATGAGTAGCACTCGCTAGTCGAGCAGAGCGACGACGCGGCGGCGACATCCTGGCGGTTGTTCTCAGAGGTCGATTTGATGAAAATGAGGTTCTGTGATAGCAATTGAGGATGGACTGGCGTGATTGAGGTCTGGTCTGCCTCGATGAGCCAGGTTGAGATATGTGGATATGATGTCAGGTGTGTTGAGAGTGCGCGACTGCTGGCGGGGGTTTGTTTACTTTCGGGTGGCCCAAGCTCCCTGGGTTACATCACACCACCAACACTAGCAAAAAAAGAATCCGGGACAACTCTCAGGGACGGAACTCCTCCACGGTAATGATCAACGCAGTGTACTTGAGAGTAGAAATACTGATGAAGAAGGGTCCTGATACCCGTTGACGTCTCGAGGATCCACATTATTACTACTTGGGTATTGAGCCACCGACTTCGATGAAGATAATGATCCCTACTTGAGGAAATTTGTGAGCCTTGCCGAAGCAGCAATCATTACCCTGGCGGAGGAGGATGTAGGTAGGTCTCAAATAGCTGGGCAAGTATGAGTAAGGAAGCGACGTGCCGCTCAATGATCGTGCGCTTGCTACCAAGACAGTCAAACAAGACGCCGTATTGCACCTACCTTGAATGCGTGTTCTGAGAAAGGCAGCAACATCAAAACCTGCTGAGCAAATCCCCGAGGCAGACTGTGCTTCTCCTCTCCTCGTGACGAGACTGCGACGACGATACCAACCAAAGTCATAGATCAAAGTCCGCCCGTTATCGACACATCTAGGTACGCACCTACCTCACGGTATCGCACCGCCAGTCCACCTACGTGAATCTCTTCGAGCGTCACGCAATGTCTCTTTTCCCCACAGCCCTTCCAGTACGGGCTCTATTTGTGATGCTTGCAGCCATCGCCGAAGACCAATGGCAACATGTCCCAAGCTCTAGTGCAATCCGCGGCGCGGGTCGAACCTCATTTTCAAAACGAAGAAGGCCAATAGATGTCTCGACCTAGGATGCGCAGCATAATATGGTATATCAGAGCTGAAAACATTAGCCGAAGGAAAGGCGACCGTGTCGGACGGTTAGGTCAGGCAAACATGCCGCCTGTCGCTGTTTGAAACTCTTGAGACAGCGCTCTGAACTAGCAGCAACTCAAATGGTCACTTGTTTTCTCGAATAGTCGATCAAGAGCTTGCAACGACTGAGACATGGCAAAACATTCTTAGGACTGACAACCAAACCAGTCAGCGGACTTCCTCCTTCGGCTCACTCAGCCATATCATCTCTTCCAGACTCTTGGTGACGGTGATCCTCGCGAATCATCTTCCATCTTCAATCATGGAGAGTGTCCGGAAATCCCTACATTAAGATCAAGGCTCGAAAGAATCGCAGGTCCCGTTGCTCGTCCCGTTGCTTCCTAAGAGCCACGGTCATCTCCGAAGACTATATCAAGATGAGCAGTGATCCCATTATTGGTGCCTACTGGCATCAAGGAACACGATCAGGATAGATGAGGGAGGATTGGCGTGGAGTCATACGCTGACTGGGCGTCCCCATGGTGCCTTTTCAAAGTCTGCAAACAGTACCAGGTCATCAAACATCCACAAAGAAAATCGCTCACCACATCTCACGGACGATCCATGTCAAAAGGCGGTAATGAATATCGAAACGGTGGAGGAAGATGATGTGACCCCCGCCCAGTGTGGGAAACGAATCCTCCGTCCGAGTGAATCGAAAGACGCTAACGCCACCATCCTCGTCAGACAGCGACGCTAGCGAGGCTAGGAAAACGCTAGAAGGTTTCTCGAAGAAAAGGAAGGTGTCATGTTGCATTCACCCCTGTGAAGTGGTGTGGGTCCTCTTCCAATTGAATAATGCCTTGCGACCAGGAGTGCCACACGAGCTAGCATCCCCCCAAGGTGCTCAGCATCCCCAGATGTTGGAAGACATGCTGCAAAACGCGACCTAGCATGAAAAAGCAATGGGAGCGCCAAACATGAACCTCATGCAAGCCACCAGTCCAGAAGACTCTGTTCCCGGCAACCGGCGCTGTCAGCCTGCAGAGTAAGGCGGTCAGGTCGAGATCCAAGGCAGATAGTTGCAGAGCTCAGAACCTACTAGCGACACCCGGCGTACGAGATTTCTCCCTGTAGGCATGACCGGCCGGCTACTGCTGCATGCGAAGGCAAAAGATGCAGTTGGAGCGCACCCTGCCCTGTCGACATAGCGCTATGGCTTCAGCATTAGTGGACTGTTACCTGTAACGCTACGGCGCAGACTCAACAATAGACAGCAGCCGATCTTGTCAGCTTGACTCTTCGATGTCTATTCTTCACATTTTCAAGTAGCAGTGGCTTCACCAGTCTCTTAAACATTCAAGAGGCGGAGAATGAACATCCCAGGGCCGCGGTTCCTCCCGCTGTTGGTCGATGCTATTGGATCGGATGTACTTTCCAGCATCGGCAAAATAGGCGACCAGCGTAATACAGATTTTCCCACGCCAAAGCTTCTAGCGCCGAAGCAGCTCCTCGGAAATACAGATATCGATTTCCAAGGATGAAAGACTAGCACGGAATGTCGTGTCTTCCCCCGCCCTGCGTTTGCGCACCACCCCGTGTGCTGCAGCTTTAGTGCGTCAATCTCATGTTCTTTCCGCAGTGCATCTCCTGTCAACGCCATCACATCTCGGTCACAGTGATCACATCCTCTGGGTCACATCTTTACCCCAGACAGAAGGCAAAAATGAGCCTTGGCATTTCGAGGTATTGTAAAAATTCTCAACACCCTTGGCCAGGGAAAGAGGATGATGATCCGGTCTCTGTCGCCGCTCGGCACTTCACCGTTAGCCTCACTTTAAGCTATGGATTCCCCGTCGATGGCTTTGGGCCCCCTCAGTCTCCATATAGAGTGCTATATCGGCTGTCGGGGCCAGTTATTCACGACCATTGAATTCGATCTGCTTTAATGCAACCTCTCGACGGCGAACAGGAATGCATACCTTGTGCATCTTTTGTGTAGTTGCCATAAGACTGACTGATTTGCCCTATGAAACGCTCGCTTCAAACCACGGATCTTCTTCCGATCACGACAAAGCGACTTTATTGTTTATCTTCCCTCGATGCAGCCGGTCCTACTGGGCGAGAGCCTGGCTCAGCCAGGGAATCTCTTCAAATCTAATGGCACGCGGAACCAGCAGTCATCAACGATCTGCCTTTGTGGCTGCAGGTCAGGTAAGTACTGTGCATAATCAGAGTGACCAGGAGTGCACCATTTGCACGGGAAAACTGCATATGGCGAGCGTCGACTTGTAATAAGGTAGAATAGGCGAGACGGTACTTCCGCTCGAAGTCCCTCAATCACTGGCGGAGAGGGGTTTCAACATTTCATCAATGCCAGGCTTGCCAAGGGTTCTGCCGACTGGGTCATTCACGTTTCCAGCGGTCCAAGCAGCAACATTGGAGGCGTTCACCTGATCACGAAGAAAAAAAAAAATTGCCAGGCAGAGAGGACGTGGCTCCGTTCCTCGCAATCCCGGTCCACCACCAGGTCCCTGCAATACAGGATGGCCTGTCGTGATTCGGCCTGCGCTCATTAGCGCCATGCTAGCATAGAGCCCCTCATCGAGTCCTTCACACCTGCCCGGAGATCCCGACATCGCTCTACGCAAGCCCCCGCGACGACATTGCACCATCGTCAAGCACTTCCCAAAGTGTCGATAATGAGGAAATTACCGAAGAGGATCAAGGTGGTTTCCCGATTGAAAGTTTTCCAGGGTGCCAGAATGTCAGGACACAGTGCAATTGACAGCTCAAAATCGCTCACCGAAATTTGAAGATTGGTTCTTGTGAAAGAGTCTTCTGCTGTGCGGTAGCGACTTCATCGGCGAGTTCCGACTTACACAAGGGGAGTCGGCGTTGAGGTCTGAACATCGCGAAACTCTTCAATGTCTGAGGAGTCTACGACAAATTATAGAAGATGCATATGCAGCCAAAATAATCATCAGGGAGAAGGACCTGGGCCGTCAGCGAGCTTCCACCTACATAAATGTTGAGGTGTTCCTAGCTTCAATACATGCCCCGTCTTTATCAAGGAAGCTATCGAACATCTCGCGGGGCCGATGAATGTTACATTGTTTCTGGGAGCCTGGCTAACGCCTCGTTCTAATGGTAAAGATGTTGACCTATGCGCTAGATTGTGGAGGTTCGGTTGAAACAAGGCCATCGCAGAATGTGTTATTCATACAGCCTACGTCGTATGATCCTCATCTACAATGACTATCGTTTTGCTGGAACATATCGCGCAGGGCTTTGGGCAGATACGTTGCGGTCGCAACTAGAAAGATCACAGAAACAACCCTGCGTAGGCATTTGCACGGCCGTCAAGGTGTGGTATGGCCGCCTCCAGGATGTCCAGCCTCAAACAAGGTACCCAGCCAAGTGGAATCGTGGCGTGCATCTGTTGCAGCATCCTTGAAATTGAACGCGGGGCACTGGTCTGCAATAATAACTCACCTCAATGATACACCGACCTGCCTACTGGCAATAAGCGACCAGGAAACCAAAGCAATGAGGCGGCGAACGAACAAGAGGAAAATAAGGGCGTGGCCTAGAGACAATCAGATGCCTGAAGAAGCATTAACGGGGCGACTCGAAGCATCAGATCGTCTGGCAAGGAAGTCGCCCAGCCCACCACCAGTCAGCAAGCCAAGTGGTGGTGTTTTGCCCTGGTGTAAAAGCTTTCTCTCGTTTTTTGTCCCTTTGCGGTCATGATGTGCGGGCTCTCCAAGATCTGATGCGCCTGCCAATGGGCGCCGGCGAATGCTGCGCTTTACCGGAGACATGCAAGTCCAACCTTACAAGGACCCCTCCTCGCCCTCCTACCATGTATGTATGTACCTTGTGCTTGTGGCAGGGGGACGGAGGTGTGCTAGCGGGTACAGCTCTGGAAGTATTCCCAGCATGGTACCTGAGATTTTGACCGTGCGGCCACCTCCCCAGCGAGCCAGCCTGAGATCCAGCGCCAATGGAACCCACACGCGAGAGGACGGTAGAGTGCCAGTGAC